GAGGGAGGGAGGGAGGGAGGGAGGGAGGGAGGAAGGGAGGGAGGAAGGGAGGAAGGAAGGAAGGAAGGAAAGATAAAGCTAGTATCCAAATTAGTTTAGTTTTAGTTTCTCCCTGTAGTAACACTGGAGCAATAAAGGTTCATCCTTACTCGTAGGACGAACGTGTTGGAACTAGTAGAGCTATCCAGTAGAAAAAGGTAGTTAAACCTGTAATAACGCTGGATTAATAGATGACCTTACTGGATCTCTAAGGAGAACAGTTTAGAACTGATAGAGCTATCCAATAAAGTCAGTTAAAGCCCCTTTTTCACTACGCTCAATTTTTGGTACCGTATCACTTTTTGGTTCTTGGACTACCTGAATATGTAGTCCAAGAACCAAAAAAGTGGTACGGGTACCAATTTTATCCGTGCCGTACCAAAAATTGAGCGTAGTGTAAACGGGGCTTAAGTTTCAAACATGTCCAATACTGTCGCATTCAACAACTCGTGAAATTCGAAAGTCGTGATTCACGCGTCGTGGTTTATAGCCATTAGTATAGGTTTCCTCCTGTGGTAACACTGGATCAATAAGAGATTATCCTTACTAGATCTCTAGGAAAACAGTTTAGAACTGATAGAGCTATCCAGTATAAATAAAGTTAGTTTAGTTTAGGTTTCCTCCTGTAATAACACTGGATCAATAAGAGACGATCCTTCCTGGACTCTAGGAAGAACAGTTTAGAACTGACAGAGCTATCCAGTATAAATAAAGTTAGTTTAGTTTAGGTTTCCTCCTGTAGTAACACTGGATCAATAAGAGAGGATCCTTACTGGACTCTAGGAACAACAGTCAAGAACTGACAGAGCTATCCAGTATAAATAAAGTTAGTTTAGTTTAGGTTTCCTCCTGTAGTAACACTGGATCAATAAGAGACGATCCTTCCTGGACTCTAGGAACAACAGTCAAGAACTGACAGAGCTATCCAGTGTAAATAAAGTTAATTTAATTCAATGTATTCTTTTTCTTCAGGTAAATCTTTATCTGGTGGAGCAATCGCTGCTATTGTGATTGGTGTCGTGATTTTCTTTGTCATACTGATCGCTGTAATTGTCTGGATTGTGCGTGGCAAACGGCAGAGAATCGCTCGTTATAATGACCTGGCAATGAATGACGACACTGACCCGCTCTGCTTTGATTCTGAACCGATAGCGTAATTTGCACTTAAATCAAATATTAACTGGGACGCTACCCTTAAAGAAAATGATTTGTTTAAGCCAGGAATTTTCTTAATTTAATCAACATTTCTTAATTTCATAAAGAAACCACGTTTTTGTCAAGACGGACGTCAGATTGCCGAGGGAGAACTGGATTAAAAACTTTGTTTGTATCAGTTTGTGGTAATCTTCAACACATATCACAAAACATAAAAATTTTTGAAAGTTTTTTTTCTTCCTTACACGAGCGCTCTGATGCAAAATGCCGCAAAAATGAATTAAAAGAGACCTTACGATTTTAGGACGGCAACGCGACGACGACGGCCAAAACAACTCCTTCAAATAAATGGTAGTAAAGATAATTCGTCGTATATTATCAATCGTATGAATTTAATACAGTTGTAGAAGTTGAAGACATGGGTTTTATAGTTGGGAAGAGTTCTGCTAAACCCAGTTTGAAGTTGTTGCGGCTTGAAATGCAGCCGTTGTATCAAGACGTCAAAATCTGTGATTTGGCGTTCTAAACAGAGCGAGGACAATGTCTAAATTATTCATATATTGTAATTATTCAATTCTTTTCAATGGTTTATTGTATATTGGTAGCCGTTGCCGTCCTAAAATCGTAAGGTCTCTAAACTGATTTTCGTGTGATGTCCGTGTTGACAAAATTGTCACTGATAGTGAATTTCATACTACAGAGAAGCCACAGTATGAATGAGACGGGAAATATGGCCATTCTAATATGCAACTTTCGGTCTCGTTTTTTTCTTGTGCTCGAGGGAGCTGGGATACCACGCAAACCCTCAATTTGATGTAGCGTTCCAGTTCAGCCTTTTAAGGTCGACACGGTGGGAAATTGCGGTCACAAATTAGTGATAGTTAACTGAGCATGCGTTGATTGTACATGCTGACGCGTATAGTAAAATATCGATGAAGCGAACATACTGATAATTTCAAGATATATTTTGGATTTATTGGTAGAAATTTGAGGTAAAGAAAAGGCTATAAGCCAGGAAACAATATTACGTGTCTCACGCATAAATTTTAAACGTACAATTTGAGCTTTATTTCGCCACAAATAAGTCGAAATAAAGCAGAGCAAAAAGCGCGGGAAAATTCTGTACTGAGCCCGCGATGCCATACAATGAATACTCAGCGACATGACTATTTTTTTCTGCGCAACTTCCGGTCGTGTGTAAATAGTTTTCATTTTATCGTTTTTGTATAGTATATTAATATTGTGGAGTAGTAGGACAAACTTAATGGATTTTGACCGATTGAATTTAAATTCTGTTGTAGATTTATTTAATGTATTTATATTATGAATATATGATGCTTTGGGTATTTTTAGATAGTTTCTCAAGTATATATTGTAAAAGCACTGCATTGTTTGATAAGATCTTGAATAAATTTCCGAAACGAATTCCTTCTTTAGGGACCGGTCATTATTTATGGCGGGGGGTGGCACCGAAGAGAAAAGGGTTGGGTAAACAAAATTTTGAGTGAGTAAAAGGTTGGGTAAATGAAAAAAGAAACAGCTCAAGGGTTGGGTAATAAAAATTTATTGTCATTTCCAAAGCATGACTCACTCAAATATTGAAGACTGAAAACGTCAATGTCAACAGTCATACGTCAATACAATATGTGAATCAATCAGAGCATAGACAATCCAGAAGACAGTCCTTGATTGTCTATGCTCTGATTGTCTGGCATGTCTTCTGGATTGGCTATGATCAGAGTCACTATCTTGATCATTTTCCGATTTGTTGGGAGACAAATTAATGGTGTCTCCAAAGAAAGTAGATGTGCAGACAACATGAAACTTTAGACTGGAGAAAAGTCAGTAAATTTCACAAGCCGAACGTTATCAAACTCGTGTCACAGAAGTGGTAAAGGACATGTGTGACAACTGAATGACATCCTTTTGTAACGTTTTTGGCCAGGGGTGGGTATTTATTTTTTAAATGATACTTGAGGTTGGGTAATCAAATTTTTTATTTTTTAATGGTTGGGTCAGCAAAATTTTTGGCACGAAAAACATTTCTCTTCGGTGCCACCCCCCACCATAAATAATGACCGGTCCCTTATTATTTTGCATTCCTCAACGGCCAGATACATTTAAAGGCACAGTTCAGCCTTTTGAACGATGGTTTTAAGGCACAGTTCAGCCCTTATAATTGAAAAAACTAAATAGGAAAATCAATTATACATAATTCAAGATCAGTAAACTCAATGTTCTTAACAATACAAATGTTTTAAAATGTTAAAAACATCAAGTTTGCCGATCTTGAATTATGCTTAATTGATTTTCCTGGTTAGTTTTTTCAATCAGTAAAAGGGCTAAAATTCGCCTTAAAAACCATCATTCAAAAGGCTGAACTGTGCCTTTAAAAAGGTTGCTAACTGTGCGACTACGAGATAAAGCTAAAGCAAAGTAATTTTGAGAGGAACGCCAAAAAGATTTTAGGTTTTGAACACTTTTCATTGCAAATACGTGACTATACCATATAAGATATCTATGGACTTTACGCGGCGTTGAAAAAATTCTTTCTTAAACAACTGAAAATTAAAAGTGAAAGTCCACGTACTGTCAGGCACGTCCATAATAAACTCAAAATGAAATATTTTGATTGCGAAATACGCTCATTAAAATCAATAGAAAGATTTATCCAGCTTATTATTATTATGCACTTTTAGATATTGCTTTACTTCGATTTTTGACACAAAACCCGTCGCGATCATTATAATTTCGCTTACATTGTTTATTCATGCCAAACCAATGAATACTCGAGAATGATACCACCTGTTTAGCGAGGAACCAATCAAAAATGACTTACTCGCTAAGTGCGACCACCTGCTTAGTAACGTGTCAGTTTTTTCCGCCACGATAAAAGCCAGTGAATCGACTACGTTTATCTGCCTGGAGTAAAAAATTAACACGTCTTAAGCCCCGTTTACACTAAGCTCGATTTTTGGTACCGTACCACTTTTTTGGTTCTTGGACTATCTAAATAGGTAGTCCAAGAACCAAAACCGTGCCGTACTGAAAATTGAGCGTAGCGTAAACGGGGCTTTATTTGACAAAAAAAGCAATGTGAATGTTGGTCTCGTAATTGCCTTTGTACTATGTTGTTTACCCTGTTGGTCATTATGGCAGTGTACATTGTTCGTGTCAGAGAGTGAGTCGCAAATCGTGATATAGAGAGTACCTTTGCATTGATTGATGCCGTACCCAATTCTCTTTGATTGCGACGATCCGATAGCAACCACCTATTATTTATACCCTGTGACCAATCCGTAATATGCGGAGAGATTAAACGGATAAGCGTAATCTTTAATCACAATCTTTGAATTGGAATTTTGATGCATGTAGCATCTACTCAGTTCATTTATTTGAGTCATGTGGCTTGGCGAGGAACTACATGTGTCATGTATAATTTGATGTATAAATAAGTAGAGTTTATATCTCTGGGTTTATATTAAAACGTATTTAATTTAACTTTGGGCACTTGAAACAAGTAACACTTTCATTATTTAGTAAATTGTAATATAAATAAATTGTTATGTCAATATAAAAATAAATTGTAATAAATTGTAATAGTGAATATTGAAAGCAAGGCACTCCGTCACGGTTTTAAGCCATTGAAATTAATATAACTGGAACCAGTGGAAAGAATATAGCTGGAACGCTACCTCCAAATTTGAAGCCAAAAGTGTAGGGCAGTCCCAAGAGCGCTCACATGACCAGCATCTAACTAGCCTGCGAACAGGCTCTCAAGCTGAATTGGGAGCCTGCATCGATGACTAATGAATTTGAATATCTGCGTCTCAAATCGTGACGCGAAATTCTCATTGGTCAGATGCTATAATTTATATGTTTCCTCTGAGCTCTATATATGTCAACTGCTGAAGCACTATGCATAAAAAACACATTAACTGATCAAATTGGTCTTGGCCGTCTTATCTCAAAGCACGAAATGTTCTGTTTTGAGAAAACAGTATTTAAAACATTCGAACTTTTGCTTGAACTCTTATATTTCGAAAAACAGTATAAACTGTACGGTCTAAATTTAGTTTGCACGGTCTAAATTTAGTTTGCACGAAAGTTGTAAACAACACCATATAAGGATAGACATTCCATATTTGGAAAAACGAACGTTACGGGGCAGATATTCAAATTCATTAATCATCGATGCAGGCTCTCAATTCAGCTTGAGAGCCTGTTCGCAGGCTAGCATCTAACCTGCGAACGGGCATACTCTGGGTCCTAAACAGTGTTTCCACTTTCAAGGAAATTTCCTTTTTCAAGGAAATTTTGACCGAAAAAAGACGTTTCAAGGAAAAAAAGAAATCAAGGAAATCTAAGGAATTTTTGAAAATTCTAAGGAAATTTAAGGAATTTTTGAGCCATTTGAAATGTTTTGAAGACTCTTTCTGGAACCTTTCATTAATTTTAAATTATATTACTCTCCTTCGCTCATAACCAATATATCCGCGTGCAAAAATAAAAAAAACCTCTTTCGGAGCCTGTGACCGAGTCAGTAGAATCTAGAATTATTAATTAAACTAATTATAAGTAGGCTGCACCCTGAATTTTAGGCGGAAATCAGGTAGCGTGCTGCGTGCGGAAGAGGTTATTTCGCTGGCCTCAAAGTGACAAAACGTAACAAAGCAACTGTTTTACTAACACTAACCCTATTCCAAACACCAACTCTAACCATAATCCTAGCCCCAACCCTATTCCTAACCTAACCCTACTCCAAGTTTGTTTTTAAACCAATCTTGAAGAAAATTGTTTTGACGAAATGTCATTCTGAGGTCAGCGAAATAGTATTTTCCGCTGCGTGCAGGCGAATTTATATGAATCTCGATATGAATTTATTTGTCATGTGAATTTGTTGACTATTGAGAACAATATTAAAACTCTAGTATTTTATATTTTAAAGCTTTCAAAATTGTTGTGTAAAGGCTTTGTTTTTAAGGGTTGTACGAAATAAATGTACCATTCTGTTTCTGCATTACTTTATATAAGTATTGATGAATTCTAGTTGCCGAAATATACTTCGGTTAATCAAGGAAATTTCAAGGAAATTACATCCCATTTCAAGGAAATTCAAGGAAATTTTAAAGCAAAATCAAGGAAATTTGAATGATGCGTTGTGGAAACACTGGTCCTAAAAGATGTGGTACCGTGGTACGCGCGGACGTGACAAAAAAACACACCCTGAATAAGCAGTGTTAACGAATTTAGGGTGTGTTTTTTGTCACGCCCGGTGGGTGAATTTTAGCGAGAGGCCCTCCTAAAATCTAGTACGTGACAAAAATCTAGTACGTGGTAAAAAATATAGATTCTTTTTGTCAACAAAGAAAGATGCAGGTGAAAAACAAATTTAAAACTGGTAACTGACAAATCCAAAAGAAAAGCATAAGGGCCCCATAAGGGTACTGTCTTTTTGTCACGTCTTTCGTACTAGATTTAGCTTATCTTAAGTTCGCTATTAAAATGGTGATCGCTAGATAGTATACTTCAAAATAAGGTTTCCGTTTTTATAACGTAGAAAAAACTATCCTAAACGCAAAACTAAGCCCTAACCCTAATACTAACCCTCACCCTAACCCTAACCTAAACCTTAACCTAACCCTAACTTATTTTAATTATTTTAAAAATTGATATGAAAACGGAAACCTTATTTTGAAGTATACTATCTAGCAATTGCCCTATTAAAATATATCATGATACAAATACGTACGCACGTTATAAATTATACTGTATAGTAAACGAATATCTTCAGGCTGGCCAACTTCATCACTTCAGTTCTGCCAACTCTTACTGGTCCATTCACAATGTTACTAAAGGAAGTGAAAACCCTATACCTATGAGTAAACGGGCACTAATTATACAACCAGCAACTGAAAATAAAGCTGCTTTCAGTTTCAAAAGTAAAACTGAAAGGCGCCAACAGCTGGACAACAGCCCATAAATTAGCCAACCTCAAATACGATTGCGAAATCTTATTACGCACTTTTATATTGCTTTCAATACATGCATTTTTGTCACAAACCCGTAGCAACATTAAAATTTCGCCCACCCAATTGACCACACACATTGTTTTATGCATACCAAACCAATGAAAACTCGAGAATGATACCACGTGTTAGCGATGAACCAATCAAAAACGACTTCCTCGCTTAGTGCGACCACCTGCTTGGCAACCTGTCAGCTCTGTGCTTGTCAGCTTTCCCGCCACGATAAAAGCCAGTGAAATACTACGTTTTCGTAGTAAACAAAGAAACACAATCATTGATATTACGCAAGGGAGTTTTGCCTGGAGTAACGAATTAACACGTCTCATTTGACTTAAAAGCATTAATACCGAAATACGTAGTATTACGTACAGTCGACGAGGACGGAGTACACGCCGTATTAATTTTGGGAGTTTATAAGCAGTGAATTGTTTGGTAAACTTTAAACAGAAGGCTAAAAGATGCTTAGTTTAAAGTCTCGAATACTTTGCTTGCTTGTTGTGGTCGCTATATCGAACGTAGTTGTAGGTAAGTTCAAATTAGACAGCGTGTTTAGGCTGATTCTTCTCGAATAATTTTGAATTCCAGTCATTCGCATAGACACAACTATTGTAAGCCAAACGATTACAACGCACGTTGTCATTCAAAGTTTGTCAACTTTTTACATGTAATATCCTTAGTAAACTTTGAAAGGCGATTTTACTTCGCTTTTAAATATATAAGGCTATTTAAATTTTTAGAAACTTCGAGTAACTCAAATCAATGAGAGTTCGTATACCAAAAATTCTAATTTACAATTTGTTACTTTTATACTTTCGCGTCGCTTCAAAATACGTAGAAATAAATTTAATTTTCCTGGCTATAGAAAAGAAGGCAGTTTCTTTATTTTATATGAAGCAAACCTGATAAATTGCTTTTATTTTAATTGTAATATAGTTTACTATAGAGTATGGTTTTGGTATAGTTTTAACATCGCCCTAATGCCAATGGCCATTACTACATTCGTTTGTTTTGTAAATTTTTTAGTTTGTTTTAACAACCAGGTAACTCTTTATAAATTTATACGCCTTGGCGACACAATACTGAAACAGGCGTGCATGAATTAAAAAGTTGATATTTAGCTGTCTAGTTGTAGCCAAGACAACCAGATGTAGTAAAATATTAGAGCAATTTCAGCTTCCTTAAAGCCCTGATTCCACCAGCGCTTTTTGTCAGCGAAATGCGAAATATTTCGCCTGTTTCTTTTGAATTGTGAGCAATCAAGTAGAAATAATTTATTCGAGTGATCGCAATTCAAAAGAAACAGGCGAAATATTTCGCCGAGAAAAAGCGCCCGTGGAATCAGGCCTTTACATACTGTGCTTTTACTTGAGTGTTTTTTTCCACGAATTTCGTGCCGTCCATTTTAATATTGCTACTTACAAGCGTGAAAGCGAAATTGCATCAGCCAGTACGATTAAGAGTGGGTGCTCAAAGTTCATTCATGAATCTGGCAGTGACTGAGACACGTGTGTTTGCATAACGTCAATATTATCAAAACAATGAGTGTTTTTTTAATGACATATAGCCATATGGAGCCATAAACATAGGAAACAGTGGGATGTTTAAAACGATGAAACGACAGGCCTCGCGACAGGCGATCGCAAAGTTTATAATCGATCTCTGGATTGAGAGTGCATATGTGATGTCGTGATTTCATCATCTGACTTACATCGCTGACACCGTGCCATCGGTTTCAGTCGTTTATAAATGAATATAGGCTATATGCCTGGCAGACAGAGGCAACCGCCATATAGCATGAGTCCCAAGATGGTATTCGTTAGCCCGCATGCAGACCCAAGGGAACTGATAGTGGTTTGAGAAAAAAATTACGCTTGACTTGAGTGTTTAGCGTCGACTGCGGTCAGCCCATAGATATAATATAATATCAACATCGCAAGCCAGGGCAATTTCAGAAGATATCATAAACGATCCTGCATACATGTTGATATTTTTCAACTCAAGCTGAAAAATAGTAAAACACTTTTGAACATTTCGGACGGAAGTCGTTCTTCAAGAGTGTTTGATAAATAAAGATGCTAATTACATGTAAACGCAACGTCTAATTTTGATTTGAGAGGAAGATTCGAGATTCTTATAGATTTATTTCACGGCATTATCGAAAATATAAAACTCAGATCGTGTAAGTACACACGTAAAAACGCACAAGTTGTTACAAGTCTGAAAACAAGTTGTTACAAGGCGTTCACAAGCTGTCGACAAGTTGTGTTCGAACTGCTTGTTCCCAGTTGTTATATTAAACAAGTTTGGAACAAGCTGTTGACAACTTGTAACAAGCTAATTGATGGAATTATCAGACTTGTTACAAGGTTGTTCTAACAAATCTGATACAGTCATGATATATAAACAAAAACGTTACAAGTTTGATGACAATACTATTCTTGAAGGTTGTAACAATACTGTTCTTTCATAACTGTATCGGACTTGTTGGAACAACCTTGTAACAAGTCTGATAATACTGTATCAACATGAGGTTCCAAACTGATTGACAACTTGTGGACAGAATTTGTTGACGGCTTGTTGGCAGACTTGCTACATGTACCGCAAGATGTGAGATTTTTACGCTTGTCTACCTGTTGTCATGCCGATATATGTATCAGCTTCTGCGCGATAAAAGTGAAATTGAAATTTTTGTTTTTAAACTGAAAAAGATTGATAAAAACGATGATTTCGAAATAACATGTGCATTCCCATAAAGCTCGGTTCCGCATTGGAAATGAAATTGAAAAGGTTTTCTTGTTTTAATGCCCACGTGTGTACTTTTTTCTTTTCCTTTTGTATAAAATTACACAATTAGAAATGTTTTTCCTGTTAACAAGTATATATATCTGAGACACGCGATAAAGAACGGCGGAAGTTCCAAATCGAACGAGGAAATATACGCACGCCTTATTCAAGACTTTAAAATCATGAGCAAACACTATGCCGTCTATGAACAAAATATTTTTTCGTTTTTAAACCAGTTTTTCCGAGTCCAAATTATACTTTTTCAACGTCTTTACTCTTATAAAGCTATGTAAATGTTTTTCAAATCATGTGCTTATGAATTAGGACGTACGTGTCTTCGTTAAATTCAAGCCGAAGAAATAAACTCAAATGGTATATTTATGCATATTGTATATGTTTTACTTGACGCATGTTGTTAAAAATACTATCAGTGTTAGATCAGTGTGAAAAATACGTTCATATTCATTTTTGGCAAATTTGGTCGTGTTTGCTGTTGAATTATTGAGGTTATCGCGCGTTCAATGTCCGTTACCTATGTATTCTAAGTTGGTTTCGATGGAAACGTTGGATCATTTCAAAAAGCAAATATATATATATATATATATATATATATATATATATATATATATATATATATATATATATATATATATATATATATATATATATATATATATATATATATTTATAGCACTTAAGACCTCTGTTACAGTCAATTTCAGCTGACTTTTCATCGTAAGATTCCGAACTTCGTTCCGAACTTCGCAAATTCGTTGCCAAGTTCAAAAGTTCATAATGAAATTCACAAACAGGTTTGTAAACAAAGCCTCTGATTGGCTATTAAATCAAACCAACCAATCAAATGCCCAGTTTACAAACCTGTTTGTGAATTCATTATGAACTTTTGAACTTGGCAACGAACTTGCGAAGTTCGGAACGAAGTTCGGAATCGTACGATGAAAAGTCAGCTGAAATTGACTGTAATGGCTTCCAATTACGTGGGCCATATCTGCAGTCTTTGTTCTTTCTTGAAATGTGTTTATATATGCAACAAACTCTTGATATTGAAAAGTGTGCGGAAGCATTAAAATGCGTCAAAATAGCGGATATATATAACTACCCATGTACAATCGCTCGCCACTTTTCAGAGATTTGTTCTTTTTAATTACAAGAGCAAGTGAAAATGTATCTTAGGCCACATAAAAAAATAGTTGGTTAGCGTCCACGCCCGCCCACAAAAAAGGCCCCGCAGGGTTTTTATTTTTTATTTACTGTAAAAAAAACCCCAACTTTTATTCATCAACGGACTCTAATATATGTAGTATTTCTGTTGACTGTAACCAACTAATTTTTTATGTGGCCTTTAAAACATAAATTTTTATTAAAAACATTTTTCGTACTCGTCTTTAATTTATTGGCGTCATGGACATATACTGGCGCCAAAAGTATATGGGGGCGGAACATAAAATGTCCAACTTTAATGCATTGCCCAACATTATAATAATCGTGACCTCCCCCTGTCCGAGGGGCATTTCACTCCAAAAAAGCGTGCGGGATTTTCGGATTTTTAAAAATCCGCGGATTTTTTAGCGGATTTTTCCCGGATTTTTTAGCGGATTTTTGAAGAGAAAATCTGTTGGACTTTCCGGATTTGTTTGGATTTTCCGGATAATTTCTGAATTTTTTGACGAAGCGTACGGGATTTCGGATTTTTAAAAATCCGCGGATTTTTCCCGGATTTTTAGCGGATTTTTGAAGAGAAAATCTGTTGGATTTTCCGGATTTGTTCGGATTTTTTCCGGATTTTTTGACGAAGTGTACGGGATTTTTGGAGTGAAATGCCCCTCGCCCCTGTCGACCAAATTTTGTTGAAATTTAGAAGTATCTCAGATGCACAATTACGTTACAGTATATGTTCTGTGTGCACAAACATAATTCATTATGAATAAGTTTTGCTCCAGTCTTCGTGAACCTTTCCTCCACTAAGGGCGCTCTCTATTAACACGGCCAAGACCGGTCAGATTGTTGAATGAAACAAAACATTTGGGCTTCGGACCTATCTGACCGGAAAATTTAGATAACATTTGAATGAGGTCCATTTTCGCTAGATATTTGAGAAACATAGACCAGATGTTTCCAAAGCGCCCGTACGATACAAAAATGCCAGACTGACGAGTAGAATTTGCCCAACTTTTAAAATTTCTGTCAAAATTAGTGGTGGGGGGGGGGCTGCCCTCGCCCCCCTCTTGCCCTGCTTTGCCTTGCCTTGAGTTTTTTTTTGAAGCACTACCTAACAACTGTTTGTAGTTTAAGTTTGAACTCGGGGCAATATTACAGTAAGTATCATATTTTCTGTTTTCAAACAGGCCGTAAAGATTTTGCATGTTCTGCGGACGAGTTTGAGTGTCCAATAACTCAAACGTGTACTCGTCTCAGCTGGAAATGTGACGGAGAAGAAGATTGTTTTAATGGCGAAGATGAATTGGATTGTAAGTAAATAGTGGATGAAGACAACGGATAGCTTTTCGCGTAGCGGCGAGAAAAAGGCAAACAGCACATATACTCTGTAACTTTCAGAAGCTGGGCGAAACAACATCTCTCCGTTATAATTATTCCTCTGAAAATAGCGTTCCTAAAAGGTACGGATATGTGTTTTTTCACGTCGCTACTGAAAGCTATCCGGTACAAATGAAATGTGATGGTCTGAAAACTGAAGTCATTGTATAAATATGTTATTGTCTAAGTTTATGTTTGTGCTCGGTGACGGTGATATAGTGCAGTGATTGACCAATAGACCTTACCATTTATTCACTTTTGACTCAACGGCCTCGTTTTCGTGTTTGCCAGTTTTGGCATGACAGGCGCACATGAAGGTTATATTCCCATGTTTCTTTCATGATTTGGTTCCTGGTTGATCTTACTGTAGGCCCAATAACAAGTAAGTTCTTAACCCTTGATTGTGCACGAAACACAAGGCGTAAAAAAATACCTGTGGTTCCGGTTCCCGACCGACCATATTTTTTTCTGCCGACCCTATTATTTTTTCAACGCGATTGACAGTGCGACCCTATTTTCTCCAGGTGGTTGCGGGCTGCTCATACAGCGTGCCAAAATGGCGTCTGTTTTCACACTAATTATTGAACCAAATTGCCTAAATTCGTCCATAGGAAATACGCATCTCTAGTTAATATTGATGTCTGGACTCTACTGCAAATCGCCCAGCAAAAAAAAACGCCAAAACCATGAAAAAAATATTTAAAAAAAAATTATTTGCGACCTACCGACCCTAATTTTTTCACTATATGAAACCGGAACCACGGGTTATTTTTTTACGCCCAAGTAAATACCTTACACAAAAACGAGGCCATTGGGGAGGCGAGAGAAAGGGAGAGGAGAAAATGGGAGGGGCGAGAAAGGGGAGGTGCAGCGGTCTACTCAAAACGGAAAATTAAGGCTAAAGTCTGTTTTCCACTTCGCTCGTATCGTAGCGAAACGTACTGGTGAGCATGCGCAGATTGAAAAGAGGTTTATAAAACCACGTACTTCCGGGTGTATTCGCGTATCAAAATAAAAAGTTCGTCGCAAGTCAACTTTTTGGCGTACTACGGAAGTACTAACCAATCGTAACGTACCGTAGCATTTTCTTTTGTGTCGAAGTCATTAGTTCCACTCTAGTGGTCCAGGGTTTTTTCAGGGATTTTTTAGGGCCGTTAAACGGCCCCAAAAACTCAATCTTGAATTGAGTTTGAAAGTCAATCTTCTCACCAAAGTTTCAGTGCAGTAAAAATGAAGTTGTTTCAGTTAAATTTGTGACGTGTGGAAATTAGTTTTCAGTTGGAAACCCGGCAATTAAAGAAAAAATGGCTGGAATTCACTCACAACACAAGAAAAACTATGCATGCATCTTTAACCAGTTTTAGTGTCTCTGGTGTCCCACAGTGCCCCTGCTTTAACACATTCCGTCTCAACTACATTTATTGAGTACAAGTGTCAGCCCCCCGGTAGGGGGGGGGGGGGCAGCAGCCACCCCAGCTGTTCAGCTAAACTCGATCTTCTTTGCAAAAAGGGACCCAAGAGAAAATCCTGGAAAAAAACCCTGTGGTCAGGAAACAAAGAAATACGCTACGTTTCGCTACGATACGGTTGAAGTGGAAAATTGGCTTTAGAACGGGCCAAAGTCAACGACCGTGACGCATGCATGTAGCTTAGGCCCTGTTTTGTCAGCTTGAGAGCCTGTTCGCAGGCTATGTTTACACTATACCGGATTCGCTGGTCACGACATCTTCTTTTGCCGTTACGGAGCAATGGTTAGTGGCAAATGCTTATTGGTTTGACAGAATTGGCATGTTTATTTGGGTCTCTGAGATTAATAATCTTCACAGCCTTTCGATACCTACAAAATTTGACCCACTCCGATAGCAATCCGGTATAGTGTAAACGGGGCCTTAGTGTACATATCTGTATCAGTCAGAATTATGACTGTACAACTGTTCCAATTTTGCCCTTCATTACAATTACTACAAAGTTTCTTTCCAAACATTGCATTAAAAGGGTACTTGACACAGAGATTAATGCCTATCTCTGTTTCAATTTCACAGAAAAACGTTCGCAATACGAAGTGCATACCCTATAAGCAACCAGAAATGTCAAATTTTCACTTTGATTTATCATTGAAGCTTCCCCAAGGGGAGGTGCATGACTTCAGAGGAAGCACAAAGATTCTTAAGGCCTGATTCCACGAGCGCTTTTTCTGGCGAAATGCGAAATATTTCGCCTGTTTCTTTTGAATTGTGAGCAATCAAGTAGAAATAATTTAATCGAGTGGTTGCAATTCAAAAGAAACAGGCAAAATATTTCGCATTTCGCCGAGAAAAAGCGCTCGTGGAATCAGGCCTTTAGGGAAGGTATAAAACGGTCTCTGGCCTAGGGAGGTGCTCACCTCCCCACGTCTCCCCTCAAAATCCGGCCATGGCCTGTGCTAGCCTCCTCCGCAGGCATCGCCTTTCGATTATCGGGCAAAATTTCTTGCAGGCAAAAAACTACGAGATGCCTGCGGAGGAGGCTAGGCCTGTGCAAAGGAGAGAAGAATTTAAATGTTCATCCTGTGGGCGGGGTCGCACATTAGGCCCGCCCAGATATAGAGCAACGTGGTTGATGTTTGTGAGCTAGATTTTTTAAAGAAGCAGTATTGATATCATCGATAAGCAGTATGAAATGCATTTTTTGCCGAAAAAAATTCGCACACTCTGGAAATTTGAAACGCCATGAGAGAACGCACACGGGCGACAGACCATATAAATGTAAGGTCTGCAAAAAAAGATATACGTTATCGTCTACGTTGAAGACGCATAAAAGAACACACAGCAACGAGAAACCTTATGAATGTGATGTTTGCAAGAGACAGTTCTCGGATGCTAGCAATTGGAGACGACATACGAGAACACACACAAAGATCAAACCTTATGGATGTGATACTTGTAACAAACGATATGTTCATAGTAGCAGTCTGAAAGAACATAAACAACGAACACACGGCGATGAAAGAACTGCGCCAGAGAAACAGTAATACCAGTAGGCAAATTTGGACATAAACGTTGTGCTCACAGTAGCAGTGTGAAAACTCATAAACGACGAGGCGAACACACCGATGGTGCTCACAGTAGCAATCTGAACTCTGAATACTCATATAAAACGACGAACACACTGATAAAAGAACTGTGCCACAGAAACAGTAATATATACAAATTTGGATAACGTTGTGCTCACAGTAGCAGTCTGAAAACTCATAAACGACGAACACACTGATAAAAGAATTGTGCCATAGAAATTTACAGTGATAGGCAAATTTGGCCTATAACGTTGTTCTCACAGTAGCAGTCTGAAAACTCATAAAACGACGAACACACAGATAAAAGAAATGTGCCATATTATAGAAACAGTAAATAGGAAAATTTGGATAATCTATATTTAATACACAATATATTACACAACTTTAAATAACTGACATGCCTACAGGTAGTTTATAGTATTGTTCTAGTTTACAGAAGCATATAATAGAACAAAGGTAACCAAGCATTAGAATTATGTATAAGTATATTTACTCGTGTAGATAATTCTAAACCCTTAGTTAATACCATGCATTGTTCTATTCTAAACTTCTGTGAATTAGAACGATACTAACTACGTCTGTGAGTTCAGTCTAAAGTAGTTGTGGCCTGTGGGTTGGGTGTGAACAAATTAGAATTTTTCTCAAGAATGTATACTATAGAACTGGAATTTGGTGGTGTTGGATTTAATCTTGCGAACTTTAAGAATCATATGCATACGAATGAGTTAATATTAGTACTACCGTTTCGTCGAAATATGGAACGCGTTAAAAATATATGTTATGTTTTTGCAGTAGGACATATATTCGTATTTGGCGCTATGCAGCGACAGCTTTCGTAGTCGCAATTTCTGTTTTGAAGGGATTATATTTTCAACAAAATGCTGAAGACGCATGCTGTATGTTATAAATTCATAAATTTATAAATAGGCAATTAGTAATTACACAATAAAAGAATGGGTGTGGCCTTTGCAAAACATTGGAGTTTATTTAATTAAACGGGGCGCCCGGCTTCATAGTAATTTCCAAACACAAAACAATTTTACTTTACATGACAACCGGGCCAGCCCTTTAGCTGGGAGCCTGGGATCCCAGTTGACTCAAACGGGGTGCTCGGTCAGCCGGGCTGAAATTTCTCCATGTAAAGTACCGGGCTGGAACAAAAACTATATAGAAAAGACATATAGATAAAGTTTTATTTCTTCAATTAATCTTGCCGATAAAGTAGTTTTAATCGATTAAATTTGCCAATAAAGCACAAATTCTACTTCCGTGACAGACGCTATGCAGACGCTACATTGTTAACTCGTAAACAAGTTTTTCCCGCCAATTTTCGTCAGCATATATTTCAGCCCGGCGAACGCCTCATCCCGGCTAACTGGGTTCATGTAAACGTCCCCTTAGGGGCCGATTACATGGAGCATTTTCAACCCCGGGGTTGAAATTTTTTGCGATTACATGGACGATTTCAACCCCGGGCTTGAAACGTTATACTATACGTTCGCGGCATCGATTCGCGGAAGTAAAAAAAGCCTTTATTTTGTTTTCTTGTAATAAATAGTCACTACCACGTATGCTCGAATAAGTCATGATAATTTCAGCCCTGGGTTGAAACGATTACATGACAAAATTTTCAACCCAGGGCTGAGTTCAACCCCGGGGTTGAAATTTCAACCCTGCTAGCTGAAGCAGGGTTGAAATTTCAACCCCGGGGTTGAACTCAGCCCTGGGTTGAAAATTTTGTCATGTAATCGCGCGTTTGATTTTGATAGAGTTTTGTATTACAGACAGGGCTGAAATTTCAACCCGGTAAACAGGGCTGAGTTCAACCCCGGGGTTGAAAATGCTCCATGTAATCGGCCCCTTAGTGTTCGTTTATTTTATCTAGCCATTTTTGGCCGCGGTAACATGGCCTTCTCTGACTCAAACAAATTATCTTTTCTTTTCCCAAGAGTTTGTCAAGCAGTCAAGCTGGAACACTCTTCTTACTAATTACTATAAATTGAGCCATTTTATTTTCATACCATTAATTTTCAATAAAGCTACAACGCTCCCTATAAACCAATTGAAAGTCTCGACTGCAATTACGCACCCAAAATCAGGGCCTATCAGAGAAATTCGGGGGCCCGGGGCAAATTTTAGTATATCGGGGGCTATATTTTTCCCAAAAAAATTGGCGAGTGGGGGGGGGGGCGGGTCAAAAAATTCTTCCGGACAAACACCAGTTAAATTAAGGTTCAAATTAAAAAAATTTTCCGAACAAATTCCTGTTAAAACATGGGAAAAACCCATTTTTCAGACCAATATCTGCAAAATTTAGGTCTAGAATTTTTTTTCTCATACCATTATTTATCAAAAAACGTTCCAAATTTCTTTTTTAATTTTTCAAATTTTGGGGCCCCCTTAAACTGCGGGCCCGGGGGCAAATCGCCCCCTTTGCTACCTCCTCTGAAAGGCCCTGCCCAAAATGATACGTTCCGCGCCGGAACGCACTGGTATATTTTGTCTTCTGTTTAAACAAAATATAAAAAGATTATCTTATTCTTCCGGTCTCGACTGCAATTCATCCAGGAATGCCAAAGCTTCTTTAATTAAATTTTCTTTAATCTTTTTTAAATAATTAAAAGAAGATTTCGGTTTCAAAAAGTAAAGAAGATTTTGGTGTTTTTTAATTTCTTATGTTGACTATATATTTTTTAATACGTTAAGGTGTTGGGTCTTAATTAATAAGGTTTATATTTATATGTTTTTATTCCATTTACTGGAATTCATTATGTAACATTGTAAATAGTGGTTAAAGTTTCACATTATAAAAGTTAAGTTTAACAAAATCTTCTTTGATCTTCTTTAATTGAATAAAGAATAAAGAAGATATTGTTTCTAAAAAAATCTTCTTTAATCCATCCCTGAATTTATCCCGATGCAAAAACGCGCCTTTTCAACGCGCATTCGAGAGTCCGAATGAGTCAATTGTGGAATTGCAAAGCATCATGGTAGTTTAGTTACACAGCAGAATTTTTCAACATGGCTGCTTGCACTTTTCGACCGAGGGAAGGTGCTAAAAACATGACAAATGCAAGAAAACATTTACCATTTTCGCTTTGATTAAAGCTTTGACTGAATCTGTACGGTTTGTTTCATATTTCTACTATGTCGTGGGCTTCTACAAGCGAGTGTGGTTGAAATATTCAACATGGCATGGCTGCTACGAATCAAACTCCTTCCCCGCTTTAGTGACTCTGTACGCCATGTTGAATATTTCAACCACACTCGCTCGTAGAAGCCCATGGGAGACGCAGTAGAAATATGAATTTAGTCAAAACTTTAATCAAAGCGAAAATGGTAAAAGTTTTCTTGCAATTCTCATGTGTTGAGCACCTTCCCTCGTTCGAAAAGTATAAGCGCCATGTTGAAAAATTCTGCTGTGTAACTAAACTACCATGATGCTTTGCAATTCCACAATTGGTTCATTGGCAGTATTGCGCCTTACTTAAACAAAATTGCTTCATTTTACCTCATGCTAGGTCCACCAACCACGTGTAGGCCAGGTGAATTCAAATGCAGGAATGGACGTTGCATTGAGGAATCTTGGGTCTGTGATCGACATAATGATTGCCCGGAAAAAGAAGACGAAGCACCGATACAGAAATGTAAGTCACATTGACATTGGTTACAACCGTGTGTAATCCATTCTCAATTGTGATCAATTAATGCTTGTGCTGAGCATTATTAAACTGTATTGAAGTGAAGCTTGGCCAGTAGCATATGTATATATTAGATATATACACTGCACGTAAAAACAGACAAGGCTTTACATTTACAGATCGGCAAACTATATCTGACCTGCAAGTTGTAACAAGGCTGTTGTCAAGTCGATATCAGAATGTGTTCGCACTGCTTGTTCCCAGTTGTTGTGGCAAGTCTGGGACGAGTTGTTATCACAACTTTGTTACAAGGTTAATGTTAACAGACTTGGTACAAGTTGTTCTAACAAGACTAATACGTAATCGTACCAAGTTGCTACGAGCTTGTTGTCATCAACTTGTTACGTCCAGTTTTATTTGGAACAATTTGTTGCGAGTCTGTGGCCCTCATCAACCTTGTTACAAGATGATAACAACTTGTTGCGAACTTGAATTGTTCGAATCGTCGTTTTGAGTTTTTCAAAATACAGTTTGTTGATTATGACGTCTAATGCGAATGCTTCTCGATAACGTTTTCCAGACACCGAAATTAGGCCGCCATGTCTTTACAGGATTTCTAGGAAGAACAGTTTAGAACTGATAGAGTTATCCAGTATAGATAATTAAATATATGCATTAAATGTAATTTAGGTAACCGAACAACGTGTAGACCAAGTGATTTTCAATGTCGAAACGGTGACTGTATTCAAGGAACATATCGCTGTGATCGCGAACATGATTGTGAAGATCAGAGTGATGAAGATGGTTGTCCAGGTATTTATATAGAGATCTGGATTAATATCAGGATTTAGAGATCTTACTATGGAGGGCGATAGTGAGATAGATAGACATATCTACGTAGAGATCTTACTACGCACGTTACAACCACACAACTTGTATGTCAGCAAGATGTGTTTGCGACAGGCTTGTAGCAAGCTTGTCAACAAGTTGTAACAATGCTGTTATTTTATCAATTTGCTACAAGGTTGTCACTCACAACTTGTTGACAAATTGTTGAATTGCAGGACGATAACAAGTTGTTGTCCACAAGTTGTAACAATGCACAAGGTTGTCATCCACAACTTGTTGAATTGCAGGACGATAACAAGTTAATGTTGGAACAACGGGTAACAAGTTTGTTGAGCTCAAAAACCTTGTAGCAAGTTGTCAACAAGTTGTAACAATGCTGTTATTTTATCAATTTGCTACAAGGTTGTCGCTCACAATTTGTTGACAAATTGCTGAATTGCAGGACGATAAAAAGTTGGAGAAACTTGTAACAAGTCTGTTGAGTTCAACAACCTTGTAGCAAGTTGTCAGCAAGTTGTAACAATGCTGTTATTTTATCAATTTGCTACAAGGTTGTCAGTCGCAACTTGTTGACAAATTGTTAAATTAAATTGCAGGACGATAACAAGTTGTTGGAACAACTTGTAACAAGTCTGTTGAGCTCAACAACCTTGTAGCAAGTTGTCAACAAGTTGTAACAATGCTGTTATTTATCAATTTGCTACAAGGTTGTCACTCACAATTTGTTGACAAATTTTTGAATTGCAAGACGATAAAAAGTTGTTGGAACAATTTGGAACAAGTCTGTTGAGCTCAACAACTTGAGCTCAACAACTTTGTTGCAAGTTGTCCACAAGTTGTAACAATGCTGTTATTTTATCAATTTGCCACAAGGTTGTCACTCACAACTTGTTGAATTGCAGGACGATAACAAGTTAATGTTGGAACAACGTGTAACAAGTCTGTTGAGCTCAAAAACCTTGTAGCAAGTTGTAACAATGCTGTTATTTATCAATTTGCTACAAGGTTGTCACTCACAACTTGTTCAGTGCCGCCCAGGGGGGGGGGGGGGGGGGGCAATTTGCCCCGGGCCCCGAGTTGCTGGGGGCCCCTGAATAATTTTTGTAGGGGCCCCGCCTTTTTTGTGTGTTAAATATTTCCGCGCAAAGGACAAGATATCTGTTTTCTTGGGCTAAGTACCGAATTTTGGCCTAAAAAAATGAGATAAAGTCAATCGAGGGGGGAGGTCGCCAAAACAATATCCGGAAAAAATTTTTCCGGAAAATTTTTTTTAGATAGGGCCCCCTAAAAAAAATTTGCCCCGGGCCCCCGCCAACCTCTGGGCGGCCCTGAACTTGTTGACAAATTGTTGAATTGCAGGACGATGACAAGTTGTTGGAACAACTTGTAACAAGTCTGTTGAGCTCAAAAACCTTGTAGCAAGTTGTCAACAAGTTGTAACAATGCTGTTATTTATCAATTTGCTACAAGGTTGTCACTCACAATTTGTTGACCAATTGTTAAATTGCAGGACGATAAAAAGTTGTTAGAACAACTTGTAACAAATCCTTTGAGCTCAACAACCTTGTAGCAAGTTGTCAACAAGTTGTAACAATGCTGTTATTTATCAATTTGCTACAAGGTTGTCACTCACAATTTGTTGACCAATTGTTAAATTGCAGGACGATAAACAGTTGTTAGAACAACTTGTAACAAATCCTTTGAGCTCAACAACCTTGTAGCAAGTTGTCAACAAGTTGTAACAATGCTGTTATTTATCAATTTGCTACAAGGTTGTCACTCACAACTTGTTGACCAATTGTTAAATTGCAGGACGATAAAAAGTTGTTGGAAAAAAGTTGTTGGAAAAAACTTGTAACAAGTCTGTTGAGCCCAACAACCTTGTAGCAAGTTGTAACAATGCTGTTATTTTATCAATTTGCTACAAGCTTGTCACTCACAACTTGTTGACAAATTGTTGAATTTCAGGACGATAACAATTTGTCAGAACAACTTGTAACAAGTCCTTTGAGCTCAACAACCTTAATTGTAGCAAGTTGTCAACAAGTTGTAACAATGCTGTTATTTATCAATTTGCTACAAGGTTGTCACTCACAATTTGTTGATCAATTGTTAAATTGCAGGACGATAACAAGTTGTCGGAACAACTTGTAACAAGTCCTTTGAGCTCAACAACCTTGTTGCAAGTTGCCCACAAGTTGTAACAATGCTGTTATTTTATCAATTTGCCACAAGGTTGTCACTCGCAGCTTGTTGAATTGCAGGACGATAACAAGTTAATGTTGGAACAACGTGTAACAAGTCTGTTGAGCTCAAAAACCTTGTAGCAAGTTGTAACAATGCTGTTATTTATCAATTTGCTACAAGCTTGTCACTCACAACTTGTTGACAAATTGTTGAATTTCAGGACGATAACAAGTTGTCAGAACAACTTGTAACAAGTCCTTTGAGCTCAACATCCTTGTAGCAAGTTGTCAACAAGTTGTAACAATGCTGTTATTTATCAATTTGCTACAAGCTTGTCACTGACAACTTGTTGACAAATTGTTAAATAGCAGGACGATAACAAGTTGTTGGAAGAACTTGTAACAAGTCTGTTGAGCTCAACAACCTTAATTGTAGCAAGTTGTCAACAAGTTGTAACAATGCTGTTATTTATCAATTTGCTACAAGCTTGTCACTCACAATTTGTTGACAAATTGTTAAATAGCAGGACGATAACAAGTTGTTGGAAGAACTTGTAACAAGTCTGTTGAGCTCAACAACGTTGTAGCAAGTCTGTTAAGCTCAACAATCTTGTAGCAAGTTGTCAACGAGTTGGAACAATGCTGTTATTTTATCAATTTGCTACAAGATTGTCACTCACAACTTGTTGAGAAATTGTTGAATTGCAGGACGATAACAAGTTGTTGGAACAACTTGTAACAAAACCTTTGAGCTCAACAACCTTGTAGCAAGTTGTCAACAAGTTGTAACAATGCTGTTATTTATCAATTTGCTACAAGCTTGTCACTCACAACTTGTTGTCAAATTGTTAAATTGCAGGACGATAAAAAGTTGTTGGAACAACTTGTAACAAATCCTTTGAGCTCAACAACCTTGTAGCAAGTTGTAACAATGCTGTTATTTATCAATTTGCTACAAGCTTGTCACTCTCAACTTGTTGACAAATTGTTGAATTTCAGGACGATAACAAGTTGTCAGAACAACTTGTAACAAGTCCTTTGAGCTCAACAACCTTGTAGCAAGTTGTCAACAAGTTGTAACAATGCTGTTATTTATCAATTTGCTACAAGCTTGTCACTCACAACTTGTTGTCAAATTGTTAAATTGCAGGACGATAAAAAGTTGTTGGAACAACTTGTAACAAATCCTTTGAGCTCAACAACCTTGTAGCAAGTTGTAACAATGCTGTTATTTATCAATTTGCTACAAGCTTGTCACTCTCAACTTGTTGACAAATTGTTGAATTTCAGGACGATAACAAGTTGTCAGAACAACTTGTAACAAGTCCTTTGAGCTCAACAACCTTGTAGCAAGTTGTCAACAAGTTGTAACAATGCTGTTATTTATCAATTTGCTACAAGCTTGTCACTCACAACTTGTTGTCAAATTGTTAAATTGCAGGACGATAAAAAGTTGTTGGAACAACTTGTAACAAATCCTTTGAGCTCAACAACCTTGTAGCAAGTTGTAACAATGCTGTTATTTATCAATTTGCTACAAGCTTGTCACTCTCAACTTGTTGACAAATTGTTGAATTTCAGGACGATAACAAGTTGTCAGAACAACTTGTAACAAGTCCTTTGAGCTCAACAACTTTGTAGCAAGTTGTCAACAAGTTGTAACAATGCTGTTATTTATCAATTTGCTACAAGCTTGTCACTCACAACTTGTTGTCAAATTGTTAAATTGCAGGACGATAAAAAGTTGTTGGAACAACTTGTAACAAATCCTTTGAGCTCAACAACCTTGTAGCAAGTTGTAACAATGCTGTTATTTATCAATTTGCTACAAGCTTGTCACTCTCAACTTGTTGACAAATTGTTGAATTTCAGGACGATAACAAGTTGTCAGAACAACTTGTAACAAGTCCTTTGAGTTCAACAACCTTGTAGCAAGTTGTCAACAAGTTGTAACAATGCTGTTATTTATCAATTTGCTACAAGCTTGTCACTCACAACTTGTTGTCAAATTGTTGAATTGCAGGACGATAAAAAGTTGTTGGAACAACTTGTAACAAGTCTGTTGAGTTCAACAACCTTGTAGCAAGTTGTCAACAAGTTGTAGCAATGCTATTATTTATCAATTTGCTACAAGCTTGTCACTCACAACTTGTTGTCAAATTTTTGAATTGCATGACGATAAAAAGTTGTTGGAACAACTTGTAACAAGTCTGTTGAGTTCAACAACCTTGTAGCAAGTTGTCAACAAGTTGTAACAATGCTATTATTTATCAATTTGCTACAAGGTTGTCACTTGCAGCTTGTTAACAAATTGTTGAATTGCAGGACGATAACAAGTTGTAGCAATGCTGTTCCAACAACTTGTCAACAGGGTGCGTTCGCACTGCTGGTTCTCAGCTTGTTGACAAGTTGTCAACGGCTTCAGTGTTGACAACTTGCTACAAGGTTTTTGATCTCAACAGACATGTTAAGTTGCAAGTTCCAACAACTTGTTATTAATTGTTATCGTCCTGCAATTCAACAAATTGTCAACAAGTTACGCGTGACAACCTTGCAGCAACTTGATAAAATAACAGTATTGTTACAACTTGATGACAAGCTTGTTACAAGCCTGTTGCGAACACATCTTGTTGACAAGTTGCGTAATTGTTACGTGTGTACTCAATATAGTTGTCCTCCTTAACTGATGATGCGTTTTGTTTTCTTGACACAGAACTGATCTGTACGTCTACGGAATTCAAGTGTGCCAACAATCTCACGTGCATATCACATGATCTGAAATGTAATGGTGTACATGACTGTGCTGATGAAAGCGATGAAAAGGATTGCCGTAAGTTAATATAAAGTCTCGCACAACTTGTCAAGAAGATGTTTTCGCAAAAGGCTTGTAACAGGCTTGTCAACAAGTTGTAACAATGCTGTTATTTTATCAAGTTGCTACAAGGTTGCCATTCACAACTTGTAACAGATCTGTTGAGCACTTGAACTCAACAACCTTGTAGCAAGTTGTCAACAAGCTGGGAACAAGCAGTGCGAACACATCCTGTTGACAAGATGTTGGAACTGCATTGCTACAAGTCTGCTGCAGGTTTGTTACAACCAGTGAACTCTCTATATATATATATTTATATCGAAATCATATATATATATAGATATATAGAGTTCACTGGTTACAACTTGTGCGTTTTTGCGTGTGCAGTCGACACATATTTTCGAAAATTTATAACGATGGAGCCAGCAGTACGCCATCGTCGCCTTCGTTTGCGAAAACCACATACGTATTTCCCGAACAATTGTTAATGTTCCTTTGGCGGCCGTATACACGAACACATTTTCCTTGTACAAAAGCTAGCATGACCAGCTTTGGAACAAGGCTCCCTTGCCAAGGAAATATTGTCAATTTTTTGCCCTACACACGAGCAAAGGGGAAGCTTCTTCGCCTGTACGGCGCTTTACGTCTGAAATGATGCATTCCAATCATAGTTCGTTCCAATCAACAAATGTACAAAGTTCTCAAATGCTTTGGCTCCAAGTTCGCTCGCCACTCTTTTCGTAAAAGAGACATAACAGAATATGACAAGAAACATAACAGAATATGATTTTAGGGGCTCCTAGTTCTACTTCAACCTTACAAAAAGCTTCTGTTATGATGGAGCTAAATTGTGGAACTCATTACCTGCAGATATGCGTGATTCAGATACATTATCATCGTTTGTAAATGCAATTGACGCTTATAGTTTTTAATATAATGTTATTAATTTTGTACATAATTGTTTTGTAGTTATATTTGTAGTTTAGTGTGAAAAATATTTTGTCGTATAATATCATGTAATCCACGCGCTCCTCGTGGAAATCAGCATACAGTTGACGGGGCCAGCGTGTGATCTTTTAAAATATAGTTTTACCTACCTACCTACCTATTCTTTCACTACCTAGCTGCTACCTGCAATCCCACAACTGAACTTACCTGTGACAACGGCGATTGTTTTCCTCTATCGTTTCGCTGCGACGGCGACAACGATTGCACGAACTCCTCGGACGAGCAGGGTTGCCCCACGCCACCAACTTTGGCCCCTTGCCCGGATCACAAGTTCCAATGTGACGACGGAGAGTGTATACCTCAGACCTGGCATTGTGATGGCGCCGCTGACTGTAGAGATAGAACGGATGAAGTGGGCTGTCCTCCCACGTGCGCAAGCACGCAGTTCACGTGTATGCAATCAGGGGCGTGCATTTCCCAGCATTCAAAATGCGACGGCGTTCGTGATTGTTCGGATGGTTCAGACGAAGCGCATTGTGGTAAGTGCTGTTTTGGATTGAAATATTTTCGGTTATAATTTCCAACCAAATTAAACTGACTTTATTTATACTGGATAGCTCTGTTAGTCCTAAACTGTCCTCCCTATAGTGGTCCAGTAACGTTTTTTGTCCCTTAATGGTCCAGTGTTACAGGAAGAAACATAAACTAAACTAAATTTATTTATACTGGATACGCTCTATAAGTTCTAAACTGTTCTTCCTAGACGTCCAGTAAGGTCATTTCGTATTGAGCCAGTGTTATAACAGGAGCCAGGAAACCTAAACTAAACTAACTTTATTCTGGTTAGCTCTATCAGTTCTAGTAAACTGAGGTCCAGTAAGATCAATCTGGTTTTATTACAGGAGGAAGTGATGTAATTTAGTTTCTAGTGTTAAAGTGAAGGAACACTTCTCAAATGCGACCGAGGGGAATTTATAATCACACAACTGTATATTGCAGAAATGCTACACCAGCCAAAGAGATGAGAAGATAACTAAGATACAATTGAAAAATGCCGGATTTCGGCATATCCTATAGCCACGGTTTGTGGGCTATGAAGGACGCCGTATTTCGGTATACATAACAACGGTTTGTGTAAAGCATGGCGCCGGATTTCGGTTGGTATATATCCAACTAACTTCGCAACGAAGCGCCTTCGCTCGAAACGTCTTCAGATAGTTGTATCTCTCTCATAAATCTACAGTTATCTTGTTATCGTGTCTACCTGCACTGGCACTGGATGTTGAAGATTATATCAAAGATATGAAAAGACCATGCAATAACTTATGTGCCTTCTGCTCTCTATACTACTATACCTTCAGTCTCTACCTTGTGTGGTTGAGCGTTTAACAATAAAAAACTAGTTTGTCTCATTCAAAAGAGCTCTTAAAATTTATGTGTTAAGAACTCTATAACCGATTTATCATATCTTGCTTAGTTCTCGAAATATTTAGACCGAAATTAGTTAATGAGCTGTCCGCCATCTTGGACTAATTCTTGACCTCGTGAACTATGGTTTTGGTGACGTCAGGAGTTGGGTTAACCATATCAACCAAACTACTCTAAAATCACCGAGTAACAATCCAAAATTGTTTGAAATGTTTTTAATCATTTCTAAACCTCCACACAGCAACCAGAAATGACAATACGAACAATCTGTAATAGAGTTTAATATATAGTTTTAAGAGTTCATTCAAATAAAGTTAAACTAATTTCTTATTGCCAATGTCCTTTAATTCAGTATTTTATTAGCTAATTTATTATTCGTTCATCCCAGAAACTCCAACATTATGCAGCGATGCAAGTTCATATCGTTGTGGAACTACTTCACTCTGTATCAGTGAAGCGAAAGTATGCAATGGCGTGAGAGATTGTCCAAGCGGGGACGACGAAGCTTCAAATTGTGGTATGTATTACACGCGTAAAGATCACAACTTGTCAACAAGACGTGTTCGCAACAGGCTTGTAGCAAGCTTGTCAACAAGTTGTAACAATGCTGTTATTTTATCAAGGTGCTACAAGGTTGTCACTCACAACTTGTTGACAAATTGTTGAATTGCAAGACGACAACAAGTTGTTGGAACAACTTGTAACTGGTCTGTTGAGCTCAACAACCTTGTAGCAAGTTTTCGACAAGCGTTGACAAGTTGTTAACAAGCTGGGAACAAGCTTAAGCAGTGCGAACACATCCTGTTGACAAGTTGTTGGAACAGCATTGGTGCAGGTTTGTTACAACTTGTGCGTTTTCTATTTCACGTAAATTTTAAAGAGCCTTAAGATCCTGGGCATGATGCCACGGGAGAATTTCCGTTAATGATACAATATTGTTAATTCAACTTTTTAATCCAGGCTTTTATTGCAGACCTGTAGACAAATTGTAACAAGGTTGTTGTCAACTGTCCAGCTGATATCACGATGTGTTCGTTCTGCTTGTTCCCAGTTGTTGTGACAAGCCTGAAACAAGTTGTTATCATCTTGTTATAAGGTTGATGACGGTGACAGACTTGCTACAAATTGTTTCAACAAGACTAATACAGGGTGTTTGTAACAACTTGTTACGAGTTTGTTGTTATGCATCAACTTGTTAGGTGCAGATAATATCAGACCTGTTGGAACAATTTGTTGCGAGTCTGTTGGCCTCGACAACCTTGTTACAAGTTGATAACAACTTGTTCTCGACTTATCAACAGCTTCGAACAAACTTGTTACGTGCAAACGATTTAGACTTGTTGAAACAATTTGTTGCGAGTCGTTTGGCCTCAGCAACCTTTTTACAAGATGATAACAACTTGTTTCCGACTTGTCAACAGCTGGGAACAAACTTGTTACGCGCAAACGATTCAGACTTGTTGGAACAATTTGTTGCGAGTCTGCAGTTACCGTCAAAAACCTTGTTACAAGATGATAACAACTTGTGTGATGATAACAACCAGTGCGAACACATCTTGTTGAAATAGATTCTTACGTGTAAGCATATTCAAATGTGTAATCTCTCCTCGCTTTTCTTCTAACTATGTTTCATTATGTCTTAACAGGAATCAATGAATGCACGGACCATAATGGGCACTGTTTTCACAACTGCACTGATCTTCCTATTGGTTATGAATGTTATTGCCACCATGGTTACAAACTGGCCAACGACAGCAGATCCTGTGAAGGTGTGAACTTTTACCTTTCGTTATTCCTTCATGTGGGAGCGCTTCTTAAAATAAACTAAAACTAACCATATTAATATACTCGATAACTACCCTAGCGGTTTCAAACTGTTCTTTCTAAATGTCCAGTAACAATCATTACATATTAACCTTATTCATAATTCATGAGCAAGTTAGCCAACCATATTGCTTTATTTTGCTCACATGATAATACCGGATACCTAGTGAAGTATATTGATCCAGTCCTAGGATTGGATCAAAATCAAGGGCTTCGTGGGCCCTATGAAAATCAATATCAATTGATAGGTTACCGTGTATAAATATAATTAAATACAAATACAAATACAAATACCATCATGCTGTTTTAATAAACTGCTTGTGTTCCAGACTTGAATGAATGTGAAGAGGTGTATGGCTCGTGCAGTCAGACTTGCATCAATATGAAAGGAAGCTTCAAATGTGGTTGTGTCGCGGGCTATCGTCTGGAAACAGCTGCTACTGATACCTGTAGAGCTGTAGGTGAGTAGCTAGAAACATGTAATTGATATATAAAAAGTGGTTTACATTATCAAGCATCTGAGACTAAAGTAATTTTATACTGATGATAATTGCTATCAGTTCTTTCTAGAATCTATAGTAACTCTATTTATACTGGATAACTCTATCATTTCTAAACTGTTCTCCCTAGAGCTCCAGTAACAGTTATCCCTTATTGATCCAGTGTTACTGTAGGAGGAAATCTAAACTAAACTAACTTTATTTATACTGGATAGCTCTATCAGTTCTGAACTGTTCTTCCTAGAGGGCCAGTAAGGATCATCTTTTATTGTACTACAGGAGGAAATCTAAACTAAATTACTAAGTTTATTTATACTGGATAGCTCTATCAGTTCCAAAGCGTTCTTCACAGGCTCATCCCTTATTTTCCAATGCAGAAACCAAAGCTTAACTCATTTGTATATGTTAATATGTAGGTCCACAGACTTATCTCGTTTTTGGTGGCCAGCACACCATTCATAATCTAACAACATCCGGGACTCACTATGGTAACATAGTTTCAAATCGTAATGCACCAATTGCTATTGGCCATGATCTCAATGGTGGATACGTGTACTGGACTGATATTGTTGATGAGAAGATTGAGCGAGCTCGACTTCTGGGCGATGGAAATGTGGAGACCGTGATAGACAGTGCAGTACATTCAAATGGTATGTTACTCGGTTGAACAAAATTAGCTAAACTAACTTTATTTTATGCTGAATAGCTCTATCAATTCTAAATTTTCTAAACTCTCTTCAGAGATCCAGTAAGGATCATCTCTTATTGATCCAATCTTACTACAGAATTAGGAAATCTAAACTTAAACGAACTTTATTGATACTGGGTAGCTCTATCAGTTCTAAACTGCTCTCTTAGGAGATCCAGTAAGGATCATCTCTTCTGATATATACTTGTTTAAACAATGTAGGTCTAGCCATTGATTGGATTGGAAAGAAGTTATATTGGACGGATGAAACCTTGAAATCGATCGAAGTTTCCGAGTTGAATGGCAAGAATCGTTTAAAATTGTTCAGTCTCATGAGTAGTGATGTGCCACGCGGTATAGCTTTGGATCCGTTTGAAAGGTATGGTGTCGTCCCTTTGCTTTGAGGGCCTGAAATTCAGTATATTCTTGTTAAATCTAATTGTGGCAAATGTGGTGGTTCGTAGTTTGTACGCTGCGGCAAACCACTCCGTTATAGTGTAAACACATTATAGTCTCAATACTAGAAACGTAGTGAATTTTTGACGGAGTGTTAGCCGTCAGCGTCATAGTGTAAACGCGGCCTAAATTTAAATCCAGCAATAACAAAGAACCCTTTGTTGTTCTAGATATATATTCTGGACAGATTGGAGCGAAGTTCATCCAAAGATTGAGCGAGCAAGTATGGACGGGGATTCCGTTTCCCGCCAAATCATCCTTGATACAAACCTTGTCTGGCCAACCGCCTTGGCAATAGATACCATCGTTCAGAGGCTGTTTTTCATAGACACCAAGTTGCAGCGAATAGAAACGATCAAATATGACGGCACGGCGAGAAAGACCTTGGTCTCCAAAGGGCTCGTTCAACCGCTAAGCTTGGCAATATTTGAGGATCACTTGTATTACACCGACTATTCGCTTAACACGATATTTACCGTGAACAAAAGAACCGGGCAACGACTAGGACAACTGAAGAAGAATCTCAGACGACCCACGGGAATTGATGTTGTGCATCCTTTACATCAAAAACAAGGTAGGCAGGGGGCGTCGAACCTGGCCTGCTTGGTAGGTCGGCGGTTATAGTACGAAGGATTTGGTGACACATTGGTTAGAGCATGTGTCGTTTATCCACACGTAAAAATAATGAGTTGTACGGAAAGCCATATATAACTGCTATTTGCGAAAAGAAGCCAACTCTAGCAGTAGGGCTGATTTTTCTTAGGACTGGCCTTTAATGTAGGGCTCATATAAACACCCTCCAAGGAAGAACAATTTAGAACTGATAGAGCTGTCGAATATAAAAACATAGTTCAGAGTTAACCTTCTCAGTTACTGACACTGGACCAATTATAGCAGTGAGAACAGGTTGGAAATAATTGAGCTGTCTTGAATAATTTTAGCCTTTCTTGGCAACCGTTTTCATCCATTTAGTTGCCAGCCAATGTACCATGAACAATGGTGGATGCTCTCATCTCTGTCTTTTATCAAGTAATTCCTCGCGAAATTACACCTGCCGCTGCCCAAACGGATTGCTGTTGAGAAGTGACGCTAAATCCTGCGTTAATATCACAGAACTAAATTCGACGACGCCCCAACCCCCCGTGCAAACCACCAATATCCCATCTGCTCAAACAACTAGTGAACCTGAGCATAAATCTAGCACGGGGAGTACTAGTACTGTCAAGGCAAGACCTTCCACGAATAATACCAAAGGTATGAAATTTTATGCTGAGGATATGCCCACTGATCTGGGAACAGATTGTTGATTGTTTGCGCATTTATACGCGCGTATAAATGGAACAAGTTGTAACAGACCTACAACAGACTTGTAGCAATGCTGTTCCAACAACTTGTCGACAGCATTTGTTCGCGCTGCTTATCCCTAGCTTCTTGTCAAGTTGTCAATGCTCGTTGACAAATTGCTACAAGGTTGTTGGGCCCAACAGACTTGTCAAAAGTTGTTCCAACAACTTGCTTACAGTCCTGCAATTCAACAAGTTGTGAGTTACAACCTTGTACCAACTTGATAAAATAACAGCAGTCTTACAACTTGTCGACAAGCTTGCTACAAGCCTGTTGCCATCACATCTTGTTGACGAGGTTTTTACGTGTGTAATTTAGGTGCTCCGCTGGCCAAGAAACAAGAAGACTCATCTTCAAACTCTGGACCAATGATAGCTGGAGTGACCGTGGCTGTTTTAGTTCTCGTGTTTCTGCTTTTTGGAGCATTCCTGTTTTGGCGAAGACGGGACAAAATGGCTGATAGAAGAATTCTGTTTTACAAGGATAGTTCAACGACTCCGTTACAGAACGACTTTGACGACGAGGACCTTGTCAAAAGCTATGAAGACATCGGTGGCACGTCGTGTGTCAAGTTTTCATAATCTTGTCGATATTGTACAGCTGTAGGCAAGTGTAGCTGACGCTTGTGTGTATACGGTTGGGATCAATTCAAGTATGCGACCAACCCCCCAACCCCCCCCTCCCCCCCTAAGTTACTTCTCCAAAGAACCGCCTCGTTCTTTAAGAACCCCTACTTATTTTTGCTCATGAATGATCTAGTTCATGAATTAAAAGTGACTTTAGTATAGAAAATAGGGTTTATCAAAGAACGAGGCAGTTCTTTAGAGAACTCATTTATGGGGGTCGTGACAACTTTTCATAACGCGCATCGCTTGTTACTGTCGCTCCAGTTTACGGAAACATAGCGGCTGTTTACACTAGCGATTCAGAGCCGAGGCAAGTGTGACAGCCAAAAACGAGATGGAGACCGATTCTCGGGGTCGAGTATCTAAACTAAACCACCTCGAGAGGTTCTCAGATCTGTTCACGCCATCCAATTCCTATAGCCATGTTTCATAAAGGTGGCCAAACAAAAAATTCTTTCCTAAATTCCTAACTATGTTTCCCAAAGGTGGCCAAACAAGAAAATCTTTCCTAAGTTCCTAGCTATGTTTCCCAGAGGTGAACAAACCAGAAAACATTGTTTCCTGAATTCCTAGCTATGTTTCCCAAAGGTGGACAAACAAAAAATATTCTTCCCTAAATTCCTAGTTATATTTCACGAAGGTGGACAAGCCAAAAACCATGGTTTCCTAAATTCCTAACCATCGGTTTCCTGAAGGTGGACAAAGCAGGAAACATTAGAGACCTTAAGATTGACGTTTACGGCAAACGTCAAACCGCTAGCGAAGTTTTTGATTTTACAACTCTATTATAATAGCTTTTACACCAGTTTTGAAATATGTTAAATTTATTAAACTTGTGCTCTTTAGCAATGATAGTTTAAGAAGGGCAAATTAACCACTAGTCATGCCATTCACCAAAGCAGTAAATGAAGATTTGGCGTTTGAAGTTGACGTTTGAAGTATAAATTTCATGCTTTAACGACTACAAGCCCTCGTAGCAGTTCAAGCATGAAATCTATACGCCAAACGCCAACTTCAAACGCCAAATCTTAATTTACTGCTTTGGTGAATGGCATGACTAGTGGTTATAAAGAGCACAAGTTTAATAAATTTACTGACATATTTCAAAACTGTTGTAAAAGCTATTATAATAGAGTTGTAAAATCAAAAACTTCGCTAGCGGTTTGACGTTTGTCGAATTGTCGTAAACGTCAATCTTAAGGTCTCTAATGACTCCTACCTAGTCTACTGCTAGAAAGGCAGAGTACTTGGAACAAATCAATCCAAATTTGCATGCAAAAAGCGTCCTAAACAAGCGTTAGCCAAATTTGCTTATGATACCTGTAGGACATAGTCGTTATATAGCCATAGGGTTAATTATTCATATTTAGTTTGAAGTTAGTAACATTTACGGTCGTTGAAATATATATATATAGCTATATCATTATTATAGATACAATATTATATATAAGGCCCGATGTATTAATAGATAAAATCCTCGAGCAAACGATGTGTTGTCACTGATTTTTTCCCACCGTTCAAAGCGCGTTTCGTTCCTTTAAACCTTTTTATCAGCGGACTTAATCGTTTACAGATGCATGACTATATATATGCATTTTAAATATACTTGTGTTCTGGAATGCCGAATGCATACTTATGAAAGTCTTTAAACCGAAGAAAGCACGCAGACGAATTCGTTTATGAGTTGCAGGCTTTCAATAAAAGATCAATATACTGAGAATTTCCACGCTCCCTTTTTGAGCCGGGCATTACAATGACAGTAAATTTGCAGCGAAGAAATTATTGCTGTGAAATATTTCGTGAATAATGTTAAACCTTAATTAGCTACCTAAAACCCCCGTGGCACTTTAATTATTCATTGTCATTGAGCTCTGAATTTCGATTCGTTGGATTAATCGCTGTCGTCGCCACGTTGTGTCGTCTTCCCTGAAGAGTATACTAGTATATATCTTTATTTACTAGTGCTATTCCAAGAACCAGAGCGGATGACGTATGTTTTTATTTTGAGTAACCGAGCCAGTACCGCAATGATTTTCGGCGTTGTCAACGACAACGGATAAACCGGATTCAATGGTAGGATTACCGCCGCGTGTTATTACTGACGATATGAAATTTGAGTAAACACTAAACGTGTACTATCAAATTAAAATGTCATCGGCACACATAAACACAGCACACGGTCGGTCTGATATTATTCTTTAACAAGAGTCGAAAATAAAACTGTGCTAGCGTGAAATATGGTGGTACGACTACAAGTTTCTGGCCACGTTGGGGAAATATGGAACTTTGAAGTAAAACACGGTATCGCTTGAATCGAATAGAATTGAGCGGTTGCTTAATTTGCGACTACAAATGGTGTGTTAAAAATTTTGTATTTTTAAGATATATTTAAAATATATATATCATGGCAAGAGTTAGTGATATTTATGGCAATTCACAAACGTCTAGAAGCACGACGTTTTCCCAAGCACCAAGGACGAGATACGATGCATTTCAGCACCCAAGGAGACTAGAATTATACATTCGCTGTACGGAGTTGAGTCAGATCGATCATTTCAGCAAAAGCGACCCACTGTGCGTGTTATTTATGAAGAAAATGGGGCAATGGTGCGAATATGGCCGCACGGAATCGATCCCGAATAATCTTAACCCAAGGGTGAGTTGCTAGTGTTTTAAATTTTAAGTTTCGCTTGAATGGTCATTGCTCTGTCACCGGTTTCGTTTATTTACATTGGTTGATTGCGACGGGCCAGGCCCAGGGCTCTCTTGCACGCGATTTGATTTGATTTGTACTGACGTCGCACAGCTGAGGAAAATATTTCATTTTCTGAGATAGCCAAGTGAACTGTAAATCAACACTAACGCAGTAACGCCTGTATTCTAAAACTCACTCACACTCAAAGAGTGGAGCTCGAGGTTCAATCTGAGCTTCCCTTGAGTATCAGTGCTGTTTGAATGGCTGGAGGGTTAGTGTCGTACCTTACTATGTGACTACTACAAACCCTCCAGGTATTCAAAAACAGCACTGACACTCAAGAGAAGCTGAGATTGAACCTCCACTCTTGGAGTGTGAGCTTTTAGAATACAGGCCTAAGACGCTAAAACTGTGCAAACCCTAAAAAGTTGTCAAACTGAACGTCATGCTATATTTTAACAGAAAAAATCTATTTCAGTGCAATTTCAGTTATAATAATGCTTTTAGGAATCTAACATCAAACTCCCGAAAGTAAATTTACGGATGCCAGTAAAGGGCACTACGTCTAAGAGCAGAACATTGAACAAGTTACAAGAGGCAAGCGCCAATTTCCGTGGCAACGATTTAAAATTTCGGTTCTCCGCTCCGTTTTCTAGACAGAATATAGTTAAAACACGGAGAATTCAAAATGGCGACCGAAAATGGCGTCGAATGAATATAAAGCGAACTTGCAATATAACAGCCACCTTTATGGAACGATAAGCTTGATTCTTAACAATTTTTTTATCGTTTAGTTTTGGCAAAGTATCGAACTCGAAGCAGGAGGTGCAGATAATCTGCCTATGAAATTCACCCTTTACGACTTGGCTAACTTCACTAGCAAGGACCTACGTAAACATGACGTCATAGGCTCAGTGGAACTAGAGCTCAGGACTTTGCTAGAAGACGCGCGGCCATTTGTGGGAGAATTGCACCTGCCGGGTGACATGAGGACACGAGGGTACATTTATGTACATGTGAGGGACATCAAGGACACGAAGAGCAAACTGAGGTTGCAGGTTAAAGGATCAAAGTTGACAAAGAGGGGCATGTTTGCAAAGTGCAACGCGTATTTTGAGGTTTGTTGTAAGATGGGGAAAGGGGGAAAGGAGGAATTTCATCCAGTGTACAGATCACAGGTCGTGTCGCGCAGCCAGGAACCAAGGTTGGTCAAATTTAGCGAATGTTGATTGGTACATATATTATTCAGCTCACTCCCTAACGGTGCTTTTCAGTGACCAATTACATCAAGTATTACGCTTACTTGTATTACCATTTAGGATTCCATTTTCATGTCACGCAGTCACGAAATATGATTGATTAGGAGGTTAGAGTTAGGGATGGGGATTGGGTGAGGTTTCGTGATTGTGTGACATGAAACGACATAACCCAACTTAGCCTAGACTAATTATCTTTACAACCATTGTGATATTACTTTCTTAACTATGTTTATCCTAACCCATCCTGTCAACTTTCCCTGTGGGAGGAAACCAGAGCACCCGGAGAAAACCCACGACTTTCGGCAGAGCGTTGACTGACTCTTTTCACATGAGTCCGTAGCGAGAATCCAACCCACGAACTCAGAGACAGGGGTGAAAGGCGCTTACTTTGACGATTGCTTCACCGACTGCGCCACTGCATTCTGTTTACTCTTCCAGGCAAAGCAAGACAACCTTGTGCTAATTTCTCTTCCAATTTGCATCCGAATTTAACCAAAATTCCATGTCCATTAATCGCACAGATTTTCGTGTTAGGAGGCAATTTTTTTCAATGTCGCGTATTTGCAATGAAAAGTGTTCAACTGACCTAAAATCTTTTTGGCGTTCCTCTCAAAATTACTTTGTTTTAGCTTTATTCTCTAGTTTATAGAGTTAGCTACCTTTATAAATGCATCTGCCGGTTGAGAAACTTAAAATAATAGTTAAAAATTGTCAATTAAAATACAATTATCAATGATGCTTTAAAATTGCGCCATATTTACAGCCATATAAGCAAAACTTACTGAACTTCAGACATCATTTTCTCTTTGGCGTATCATCTAAAATCTCTTCATTTTAGCATTATTTTACAGATAAATCACTAAACATACTTTTTAAGTTTGTTTGCCGATTGTGAAACGTATCCAAAAATAAAAATTTTGAATTTAGTCATAACCTCAAGTGATATATTATATACGCATTAGTTTTGAGCGCGTGTTACGTAACATACAAAAAAAAAACCTCTTAATACGTTTGATATTTTTTAAGTTATCGCCCTGACAGACACACAGGACATTACTTGTTGCCGTGAACTTACCATCTTTAAAGTGCAACTAACCCCAAATATAATTTTTGGTATGTGTAATATTTGGGTCATTCTGAGAAGAAATGCCGTAATGTATCTTTATAGTAAAAAACCTCATCTTGATCAACTTTTTCACTGTCAAAGTTTCCAGATATGATGTCGTTAGGTGAATTTTTGGTACAAAAAAAAACAAAGGAAAACTAATTTGAAATTCATCTAATGACATCATATCCGCAAACTTTGACAGTGAAAAAGTTGACCAAGATGGGATTTTTTATTATAAAGATATATGACGTTTCTTCTTCGAATCACCCAAATATTACACATACCAAAAATCGTATCAGTGGTTAGTCGCACTTTAATAAGTGACGTTTTTCAACAAACTTTTCAGATGGCAGCCGGGTGACATACCTCTACACAAGTTGTGCGATGATAATGATAACGAAACAGACGTTCTTCTTCAATGTTGGCATTTTATACAAGACGGCGGAGATGATCTAATAGGAGAAGCTCGATGCTCATTAAACGATCTTTTAAAACGGTAAGAAGGCGTTCGACCTTTTGCTTGTTTACTCCGAGGATTTTACTGCGGTATATTCATTTACTACATGTATTCCGCGTAGATGCTGTCCTAAAATTCTCCCATCATTTTCATTGTCATCTAACGTCGTTAATATTTGCTCTGGTTAAAATTTTCTCTGGTTAAAAGGTTCAAAAAATAGTTATTAAAATATCTAGTTAATTAACCCATTCAGTGCATGGTAGCACTCCCGCTGACGAGTAAAATTGTCTGGCGTTAGAGAGAGTAAAATAATAAAGTAAGGTGCATCATATATGGACTTCAATGATTTGGATTCTTGCACTTCACTTCATGACATGAGCACGCTCATATATACGTGCCGAAATCCTGTAATATTATCGTCAGCATGCATACTGGATGATTTTCGTGTGCACAGAACCGAACATTGGTATGCTCATGATCACGCCCGTATATCTACCAGAATCTTGTAATGTGTTCATGAGCGTGCTTATGAGCATACTGCATGATTTTAATAATAATAATAATAAATTTACATTTATATAGCGCTATTCCTAAGTATGTATAGGACCGTGTGCCTATAGGACCGTGTGCATACCGATATTGGTATTTTCATGAGCACGCTCATATTTGTACCAAAATCCTGTAATATGCTCGTCTGCATGCTTATGAGCACACTGCATGACTTTCGTATGTATAGGACCGTGTGCTTATGAGCATACCGACATTGGTATTCTCATCAGCACGCCCATATTTGTACCGAAATCCTGTAATATGCGTGTGAGCATGCTTATGAACATACTGCATGACTTTCGTATGTATAGGAACGTGTGCTTATGAGCATACCGATATTGGTATTCTCATGAGCACGCCCATATTTGTACCGAAATCCTGTAATATGCACGTCAGCATGCTTATGAGCACACTGCATGACTTTCGTATGTATAGGAGCGTGTTGCTTATGAGCAAACCGATATTGCTATTCTGATGAACACGCTCCGACAGTATATATAACGGAACCCTGTTATGTGCTCATCAGAATGCTTATGAGTATACTGTATGATTTTGTGTGTACTGTATATAGGAGTGTGTGCTTATGAGCATCTTGCTCGGCATCTTATTTTCCCATTTTTAATTCTCTTGAATCACACCAAGTCTTTTTGTAGAGATCACAAAGTCATTCAACTGTATCCACAACAGCAAGCGAAATCAAAGAAGCCAAAATCTTCTGGGAGTCTAAAGATATTGCAATGCTGCATTGACCGGCAGTATAACGTATCGGACTTTGTTCGCGGGGGATGTGACATGAAATTTGTGTGCGCGGTTGATTTTACCTTGTCCAATGGGAACCCTAAAGACAGTTACTCATTACATAGTATGTTGAGTGAGCACGTAAGTTTTTATTATATTATTGCTTCTCGCAATGTAATTATCACAACGTATAGTTTGCAGTGCCATATAGTAGTCAATGTAATGAATTTCTGCAATATATACAGTTGTTTGATTATAAATTTTACCTCAGTCATATATGCATGGGAAGAGTGCTTCTAGTTTGACTCTACCAAACGCCGCAGGCTTTTTCCAATTCCACACAATCCTGCTTCCTCCCTTTGTAACACTGGATCAATAAGAGATGATTTTTACTGGACCTCTAGGAAGAACATTTTAGAACTGATAGAGCTATCGAGTATAAATAAAGTTAGTTTAGTTTAGGTTTCCTCCTGTAGTAACACTGGATCAATAAGAGATGATCCTTACTGGACCTCTAGGAAGAACAGTTTAGAACTGATAGAGCTATCTAGTATAAATAAAGTTAGTTTAGTTTTGGTTTCCTCCTGTAGTAACACTGAATCAATAAGAGATGACCTTCAGTTTTGAAGGAGCTATCCTGTATAAATAAAGTTAGTTTAGTTTAGGTTGCAATAGTGTTAAATGATTTTAGTATAATCAAATTTCGATTCATGATAGAATTGATTTTACAGTTGTGCTTTACTAATTACAATATATTCAAATAGAACGAATATCTCGAGGCGCTACGATCACTCGGCTCAGTCCTCTCGTACTACTGCCTCGACAAACGGTATCCCGTGTTCGGATTTGGATCACGGTTACCTGGTGATGACGTCATCTCTCATTGTTTTTCGCTGAATGAAAAAGAGGATTTGCCACAAATCGAAGGCTTAGAGGTACTGTGATGATTCGATACTTGTAGCCACGATGTATAATAGCCATGGTTTTAAATTCAGGGAAAGATTTCTACCAATCGATCATAAGTTGTTGGGCTTACAGTGGGACATGCGTGCTATGGTTTCCTGCAACTGTTTAACATTCTTTCGAGCGGTGTCGCGTGCTTTACATGATATTTCAAACCCGACTATGAGGACTCGACTAGATTTCAAGTCCGCGTAATTTGATCCGAGGCGAAGCCAAGGACTTGAAATCTAGTCCAGTCCGAATTGGAGAATTTAAAATGACATTTCTTTCGAATAAATCACTACTTAAATGAATTAATTTTCATCCAGTCCAAGGACTTAGTTAATTTTCATCCAGTCATATACCCAGTCCTTTTGATCAGTATTATCATGTGAGCATAGAATAAAGATCTATATAGAAGGGCCACTTACGTCCGAAGCTTTGAAGTTTCTGTCCTCGCGCATGTCGCATTACGCATGTTGGCCGCCATTTTCCTAGCCAGTCAATGACATTTTCTGGCCAATAAACACGCTGTACTGGCTGGCTGCTCCGCCTTCTGGCCAGTAAACTGCATATGTTTGCATAAAAAAACGAGAACACGTTGTACCACTGAGTGGCCCTTCTGTTACTGATCTTTATTCTGTGATGTGAGCAAAATAAAATATGGTTGGCTAATTCACTCATGAATTATTAATGAGTTTGAGATTTTTTTTCGCCCCCGGCTTGCATATTGCAGGAGACCCTGCACAGGTATTTTTGACATGTAAACCTTTCTTCGTTACCAGGGAATCATCGAGGCATATCTACACCGTATTCAAACCCTCACGTTTGCAGGACCAACATTCTTGGCACCAGTCCTTCGTCGAATACTGCGCAATCACGTGCCTGTCTCGAGCCAGTCCTCTCAATGCTACGTGACCGTTTTAATATTACTGGATGGCATAGTGAATGATTTAGATGAATTACTGCCTGAAGTCCACAAAGCCATGGAACTGCCTCTGTCCATTGTCATCGCTGGTGTTGGTCCCAGCAGTTTCCATTCAATGGTAATTCCAACAATTAGTTTGACATCTTTTACTGCACTTTCTTCTTGATCTGTAAATTAAGCGGTCACCCTCAGGGATTTGGCAAGTGACCGCTTAATACAGGGTGACCGCCCAATGTAGGTCCACGTACCATGGTTAGAAATGGCGTTATTGATTCTTAATATCAGCAAGAACTGAACATGACGACAAATAGAAAATGACAGAGCCGTGTGGTCGTTGTGACGTCTATTATAAGCGGACACGGCAAAAAATTCTGACTAGAATACAATCAAAATACTGAGTAAATCAATGCACCCATAATTACTTTTAATTGTGACTCGTGAAAAAATGTGTTAAAAGTACTTAATCTGTACGCATTTACTCAAAAAAAGAGTACTAGTTACTCAAGAAAAATGCACCAATAGTGACTGCTTATTCTGAGTAAACGAGTTCTATACTCAAACGTTGAGTAATTTCCTTAAATATGAGTCGACGCGGTCACATTTCACACAGTGCAAAACATAATTTTTCATTGTGTTGCGAAATACTGTATTAAATGGTCGCCGGTAAGAAATGGAATCCTGTGATGCATTGTGGGAATGTGCACAATTTAATGGACATGGAGAACTTTTGCTAGCCATATCATAAGGAATTGATTTGTTGAGCCAAATAAAACCGTTTAATAAAGGTCACGTCAACTGAAATTACATTGGGATTTTATCAAATGTCTGCTTAATAAAGGGTGATCGCTCAATGCGGTACCGCTTAATACAGGTTTGACTGTAATCCGTTGTTAAACAGACTACTAGGTACCACGCCTTTTCAGGGATTCGATTCTAAATTTGATGTTAGCACACTATGAATGCCAGAATTCAGAAATGAAAAGCCATTTCGTTTTCATTCCAGAAAGATATTTGTAGCAACAAGAAGAATGCCACAAGATGGAATCTTCATTTCGTTGCCGTGAGATCAAACAACAGCAAACACATATCACGGGGAAAGGTAAGCCACAACTCTTTCGCGTACGAGACCAATCCGACAGGCCTTTGGAAAATTTCGACGTTTCGAACGCAGCCCCTATCTCGGGCGAAGGCCCTCCGTCTATTAACTTTCCGGCCTTCGCTCGAAACATCGAAGTTCTCCTTGTAATTTTCAGCTCGTTGTCATCCAGGAACGTATAGCGAAGCATCTGAAGTTGGAAGGTGTCGGAGGATTTTACCTGAAATTTGAACTTAAATTCAATGTTAAAAAATTACCATTGTCATTGATTTCAAATGTGATACTGTGTTTCTGAAGAAAAAGGGGTTAATTGAACCTCCAGGATTGCATTTCTGGCGTTCTCTAAAGTAAATTCGCAAACGACTGAATTGGATCCAACTTAGCTTATTATGCAACTTTTACCTGAAAATGTCAAAATTTTAACTTGAATTTATCTGATTTCTACCCGAGGAACCCCCAGTCCTTACGTCCCACGTTGCATTCCTGTCAATCCACAACTTTCGGCCTACTGTCTTCGGGGGCCAAGGTCTCCTTTATTATGTTCAACATTGTGCGACATTGGCAATTTTCAAAGAAACGTATGCGTCGCTTGGTGAAACTGGGCGAAATTAGTCGATATTAGTGGAGGAATTCGTCCACAAGTTGAATCGTTATCCCGAAGACAGGTTGAATGGTACGGTTATCCCGAAGACAGTTACCGGCATAACCATCCAGGTTAGGCCTATACATTCGGCCACGGTTAACGTGGCCGAACATATTCAACGCCATAAACATCTAAGTTGAATGTTTATGCCGAAAATATTCAACGGCATAAATATCTATTAAAGTTGAATGGTTATGCCGAAGACAGTCATCGGCATAACCATCCAGGTTGAATGTTTATGACCGTTTATGCCGAACATGTTCGACGGCATAATCATCCAAGTTGAATGGTTATGCCGAAGACAGTCCGCGGCATAACCATCGATCCGAGTTGAGTGGATATGAAGACAGCCAACGGCATAACCATCCAATGGTTATGTCGAAGATAATCAGCGGCATAACCATCCAAGTTGAATGGTTATGCGGTCAACGGTCATATGTTCGGCATAAGCATTCGACTTAGATGTTTATGCCGTTGAATATGTTCAGGCCTACTTTGGAGGCGAAGGTCGACGTTATTATATGCAACATTGTGCGACATTGGCAATTTTCACGTGGGCGACATTAGGCGAAATTAGGCGACCTTGGCCCCCAAAGTAGGCCTAGGCTTTCTTATTATAAGCACAATCTACATTAGCAGAGACCGTTTTAATCGGAATGTTTTTGGAGTGTTGTAGAAATAATTCAATGATTTTTTCGCAGGTTCGGGACATCAGTGCTCAAGTCTGCCGAGACTTTATCACATACATGAGACTAAAAAACATTCATCCTAACCCCGCGAAAGCAGTGAAGATTAAACCTCTTTACGAGTCCCTGGAACTGGACTCAGCCGCTGACAGAAAGATCATGGCAAGGTCATTGTCACAGATAAACGATATGAAGTCATGTTGCCCTTCTTGTGGCTCAAGTATTACCAAAGTTTTCCCGGGAGTTTAATCTTGGCAAGGTATATGTTTGGATAAAATTATTTTTATATTATGTAAAGTAATGGTATGGGTGCCAGACTTTTATAGAGCGGTTTAAAGGGATAAATATATGTTATATTGCATTCAAAACACAACAAATTTATCTGAATAAGAGGGGTTTTTTTCCAATTTGACTGGTACTATTTTTAAGCGATTTGGTTGTACAAGACCAAATATATGACTCGGCAAAGCCACAGTCACCACTGACCGATATTATCAGTGCGGGCGCCACAGTCACCACTGACCGATATTATCATTGCGGGCGCAAGGTAATTTTACTCATGAAAATAAACTTGTTCTCTAAACTCTAGCTTTATTTTTGAGGGATGCTAAAATCTCTGTTAACTTTTTACAAACGGTAAAAGTTTAATAGAAAGTTTTTAAAGGTCCTTCGCTAGTTCGAATTCTCAGATTCAAAATGAATCTGTGACCTCAGTTCTTGGTTGTTTTAACCAATTTTTTTCCGGTGCTTATAGGGCTTAATCTGGCTTGAAAAGATTCATCTTTGAAGACTAAAATCGTTTATCGAGGGCGACGTTGGCATATAGTAAAATAGTGTATGCACAAGACCAGTTAATAACATAAAAAGCTGATGAACGGGTAATCCAAAAAATGAAAAGATATTTATAAAATTTATTTTTAAACAACGAGGAAATCCTATAATTTTTTTATTGAAACAAGAAGATTGAAATATATGACCAAAAACAATTGTTTACATCACAAAATAAGCAAAAATCTATCTTTAAGCCCTTGCACCTTCGGAAACCTGGAAACATCAACGTTTCCGTGACAAAAGTCGCATTTGAGCCAAGCGAATTATGTTTCAGAATTTCTTCGAAACATTCTGGCTTCTCGGAAACAAATTTTCTTTCTGCAATAGTATTTTCAGTGGCGGTAAAACGTGACAAAATGTTGGAAACATAGTTTTTCAGAAACGCTTCCCAGGTTGTCCATCATGGCGTTAGGGCTCTAAGTATTACGCCCGGATAAAACGAGGATGAGAGTGCGTGAGATTTGGCAGTCACGTGACCTTGGTTAGCTGTTCTTAAAGTGCACCTAACCTCGATTATTTTAACATCTCATTCCTAAGAACCTTTGAAATGATATTGTAACTTATTTTGAAGATTTTCGTTTGCACACCTTGATATCCGAAACTTACGTCACATATATGAATAGTCGGACTGATCAGAGAATGTAAGGTATCATGAACCAAAAGGGCTGAATGGTGTTTTACATAGGAATGTATAGTCCTCCCACAACTCCAAACTTTATTTTAATGAATTAAAACTTGATAGTGAATGTGATACACAAGCATTTGCTTTATATTATTATACATTTGTGACGTGAATTCCGTATATTTGCATATCAAACAAACTGAAATATCTCAGGAACAAAGTGAGCAAACGAAAATCTTCAAAATAAGTTATTATATCATTTCAGAAGTTCTTAAGAATGAGATGATAAAATAATTCTGGTTAATAGGTGCAACTGAGTGCTTTTCCAACACTATCGTGTATTCTATTTAAGTTGAAACATAGTTGGAACAAACCTTTATTTTGTTTGACCGTAAAATGTCCCCCGTAAGAATCTGTGACTGCCAACTCCCATCAACCCTCGTCCTCGTTTGATCGGGGCTTTAATCATGCATTAGACGCGGATACGATTTCTCAAACGATTAGAAGATCTTCGGCTGTGCTTCGCCAATAGTTTCAGAATATCGCCATAAATCAATGCGGGCGCGTCTTTGCCGGCAATGAAATCCAAGTGATCCCAAGCTACGATTTCCTTTTTGTAAACAATATGTTTGTGTTGTGCGATAATCATGTTTACATCTTTCACATCCGCCAGCCAGTCGTTCCCCCCGTAAAATAAAGCTGTTGGAACATTCACGGATGATAGATGGTAAGATGGTGGCGTGTCCTGGAAAGAGGCAGTGGATCACATATTAATCAGGGATGGATCCAGCATGGTCTGGTAGGGGGGGTGCTCTGCCAAAAAAAATTTTCGGAAAGCAACAACCTCCCCCCCCCCATCGACAACTTTTTAGGGAAAAAAATTTTCCGGACGAGTACGTTGCAATTGCTTACCAGTGACTTTACACATCCATCAACTTGCTTAACTACTGCAAAGTCTAGCTACAGTATTTGAATTGTAATTGTTGTTCGCAGCTCGCTTATCATCATGTTATTACTCAAATTACTGAATCTCATTTTGTCTCTGATAATTTTTTGCTTTATCATGAAAAATAGCACCCCCCCTGCACCCCTCCTGGCCAGGGCTTGGGGGGTGTGCACCCCACTGCACCCCCCAGTAAATCCATCCCTGATATTATTAATTAAGAGATTTTTTCCGCGTTACTAACACGCTCAAAACTAACGAATGTACTACAACACTTGGTTATGGTACGTTTCTTACTCGGTTAAAAATATGCACAAACTTAAAAAATATGTTTAGTGCTTTATCTGTACAGTAATTAAGAAAATTAGAAAATTATGTCTGAAGTTCAGTAAGTTTTGCTTATCTTGTCAATGTCGCTTATATCAGATACAGCTAAAAATTGAAAGTGATTTTGACACTTACTTGGCCATAATGTTTTTGGTTTCCTGAAGTTCCGTAATCATACATGCAAAACCTCTTAGAACGAACACCCTGCAAAGATTATACTGAATATTTATATCATTACCGAGTCTAATGCTGGATGATACTGATAGAGAAAGATCAGATCTTGATATGGATTCTAGGCTTTTATTGAAGGATAAGATAAGAAATGAAGATGTCGGATGAAAACGTAGGGTACAAAGCATTTCAGAGAAAGCGAGGAAAGGCTGAGATTGTATGGACATGTAATAAGAAGAGGTGAAGGAGAGCTGGTCAGATACATTGTGGAACGAAAAGATCAGAAGATGTGGGGTGGTAGACATTGCTGAGAAGGCGAGAGAAGTAAGGCTGAGATGATATAAACATGTAATAAGAAACGATGAAGGAGAGCTGGTCAGTGACATTATGGAATGAAGAGATCAGGAGAAGATAGAGTTACTGACTTGCAACTCCAAGAATCCTTGGCTACTTCCACTTAAATAAAATCTGAAGACATGGTATGTATTTGAATGGTTTTGCAATCACACATACTGACCTGAGCCCATTTTATTATGTCTTTTACTGAGGTTCCCTGTGGAATGTGAGCTGTGTAAACTGGCATTCGGGTCTAAAAAATGTAAATGCTCAAGCTCGTTGATATTTCATGACAAAATAGAATGGAAAAAGATCTAGAGAAGCAAACCCGCAAGAGAAACAAAAAGCCGACATTGTGTCCTTGCCTCATTCATCTGTGCCTTATCAAAACCACAGAGCAAGAATACGACATTAGCACACAATTCTTCGCCAAGTTTCGGGTTGCATGCCAACTCTGCAAGCCATTCTTGAACTTTCGGCGGTAAATTGAAATCTCTCACACCAAGAATCTTAAACAGCAACTAAAAATACATGGAGAATTAAAGTTAATACTTTAATGACAATAACAAAATAATGGTATGGACATGTAATATGAAGTGATGAAGGAGAGCTGGTTAGAGACGTTATGGAATGAAGACTCTCTCCTCCGCAGAGGCTTCTGTTGGCTATGATTACGATTAGTATTGAGATACATTTCACTACACTTTACATGGCGGATCTTGGAACACCAACGGAGCCGCTGGGCGAAGGAGCGCAGAAAATCTGGTCAGAGACATTATGGAATAAAGAGATCAGAAAAAGATGTGAGGTATGGTAGACATTGTAGAAAAAGTGAGAGAAGCAAGGCTGAGATTATGTGGCCATGTAATAAGAAAATATGAGGCAAACCTGGCCAGAGACATGATGGAATGAAGAGATCAGAAGAAGATGTGGGATGGTAGACATTGCAGAGAAGGTGAGGCAAGCAAGGTTGAGATGATATATGGACAAGTAATGAGAAGAGATGAAGGAGAGCTGGTCAGAGACATTGTGGAATGTTTTAAGAGATCAGAAGAAGATGTGAGGTGATAGATATTGCAGAGAAGGTGAGGAAAGCAAGGTTGAGATGATATATGGACATGTAATAAGAAGAGATGAAGGAGAGCTGGCCAGACACATTATGGAATGAAGAGATCAGAAGAAGATGTGGGGTGGTAGACATTGCAGAGAAGGTGAGGGTCTGAGGGAAGCAAGGTTGAGATGATATATGGACATGTAATAAGAGGAGATGAAGGAAAGCTGGCTAGAGACATCGTGGAATGAAGAGATCAGAAGAAGATGTGTGACAATCCAAAATTTAATCGATTTGTCCTTGGTCAAACTGTTTTATTCTTACAGTCAAACAAGCGCACTAACAAATGGACATTCTACCTCAATTTCTCCAGTGAAGTAAGAAAGATATTTCAAAGGTGAAACCATGTTCCCAACATAAGCCACAGGAGCAAGCGCAATAAAAATGTCCACTTTTGAAGCCCAAGTTTGATTCCTTGAGAATTCTGCGAAGGCGATCGTCGTCCCCTGAGAATGACCGATATATGATAGACTGGACGTTTGCGTGTAGTTTAGAATGTAGTTTAATGTGGCGGGAATGTCGTATTTCGCGAACTCATCCCAGCTATGAAATGAAAAATATACACAGTAGGGCACGAGATTTGTCTCGCTGTGACCAAAGCATGATATGAAACTTCTTTGATTATATATAATGATGCAATGATTTATACTGACTATCTAGTATAAATGAAGTTAGTTTGGTTTAGGTTTTCTCCTGTAGTAACACCGGAAAATAATAGATGACACTTACTGGACATATAGGAAAACAGCTTAGACAAAGCTCATGGTAAAGCTATCTAGTATAAATGTCTAAATCTTTCCTAATGTTTTACCTAAAAGAGAAGGTCCAGAGTTATTTCTGGACCCCCAATGTGTTCAGATAATAACTGCTAGTGCTACCCTCGATCGAGTAAAAATAACTTTAGTTCATTAGTCGTGCAAAACCAACCTAAAATCCCAAAATGCATCTGAATCCGGTGACAATGTCTTGTGTCTGGTCGAGTAGATATTCCCGCGCGAGTTACCAAGCCATACGTCATATCCGGCGTCTGCCAAGATAAAACCGAGGCTGCTATTGGCCAGATTCAGAAGAAAATGTGTAGCTGAGCCAAGCAGACCGTGTTGCAAGTAGACGACAGGTTTCACAGTGTTACTCTTGTGTCTGCCGTTTCTGCCGTGCGGAATACGTTGAACGCTTAGTATGTAACCATCAGAAGTTACGACGCTGTAGTCCTCGCAAGGATAACCCCAGTAGGAAATGATTTGAGACTAAAAAATAGTGACAAATTATTGCGACCTTATCTGTGGCGGTCTTTGGATGACAGTTGTCACCTGAAATTCAAGTTTGTTTCATAATCGAGATGTCAGGTGTTTTAACTAATATCACATGCACGAAAAAGGCTCTACATTGTCTACGCCAAAGTGACGTCCTTTTCGGAGGGGTGTGTTCTCTGCTGTCAGTAAAATATTCTGACGAAACAGACAAATCGAACCATTGGATAAATATTTTAAGCCTACCCATATGGCCTACCTCTCGAGGCCTTGAGGAAAATATCTATCGTGTTTGATATATTTCGCTTCGCGAGGAAAAAATCTCAGCGTCTGCGGATGTTGTGAGCTAAGTGCTGAGCTGTTTGAATCAATTAGCCAATGACAAACCATGGTCTCTTCATGTGACTTGGAACAAAATGGAGGAAAATGCAAATGATTTTGTCATTTATGTTGTTGTTGAGTAGCTTTCCCAACGTGTGCGGTGAAAATACATAGCTGAGCTAGCTGCCACGCGAGGCAGTTAGGCCTAAAACTGTCGCATGGAACCTGCTTACAACTTGAGCTGTATACTGTGTAAACCAAGCACACAACTTGCTCGCGCGCGTTGTCATTTATTTACATAGTACAACTCGTAAGCAGGTTGCATGCGACAGTTTTAAGCAAAAGTTGTGAAGTCTAAATCGCCCTTTATCCCGGCTATTAATAAACAGTAATGCTGATTCATGAATAAATTCATGTTGAAATTCAGGGTACGAATTGAAACAAGACGAGTATTCTCAAAAACCATTATTCGTTGGGATTAGGATTTTTCTTTACATATATTTTCTGAAATTCTCGACTGGTCCTGGTTCTCTAATGTTCGCTTCATTTGAATGTTCAATGACAGTGCTGTGGCATATTTCCGCCCCTCGAAACAAAGCAAGTAAAACATATATTTTCCACAAAAATTATATTCGTCAAGCAAATGTGCAACGAACTTTGTGAATTTAATGAGTTCCGTATTGGAAATTCAAGTTCAAATGTTGGCGGAAGTATGTCAAGCGTCGACAAGTGTATCAGGATATTAAGAGAAGATTTAATTATTTGGTTTAATGTAAAACACACATTGTACATGCCCGCGCACATTCCCATACGCACGCCCCCGCTACATCGTGTTGTGAAACTCAATATCCCTACCATAACTGGTTAGGTATAAAAAGGAAATCCAAAATATGGAATGAAATATTTTCACTTGAGTTGAGCTTCCCCGCAAACCAGGCTTATATATATATATATGGGTAAATATTTTTGGGCATCGAGAGAGATTTCGACGTATATATATATATGAGCATGCTTATGAGTATACTGGATTTTGGTATATATATATGAGCATATAGGTAGGGCACTACTGTCTAAGCAGCAAAATTTAGTTGACACAGCATTTAGAGGGGTATTGTTTGTCGTGACAAGAGGGTCCTGTTTCAGTTCCTTGTGCTTTTCTCCATGTATTTTAACTATTTTCGTGAAAATATTCACTTCTTTGGAAAGATATCAATTTATTATATACAATTCCATGACGTTTTGCGTTCCGAAATCCTCGATGTATGATATAGGTGTACAGTATTTTTCAGATGTATATAATACCTCGTTATTGTTGGTAGCTAATTGTTGGTAGCGAGTCGGATTTTTGCAACGCATGCAGTGTTGTTTTTCAGGACGTGCAGTAATTGTGGCGAAAGTATTTCGTGCACTCAAATTGGATAAGACTCGCTAGCTCAAATCTGCTCAAATTGCTCAATATCTACCTGTGGACCGATAGCTCAATGACAATGGGCATAGACCCGAAGGAGGCCAGTTCGAATTCCGCTCGACGGTGGAGACAAATAATTTTTCGTTGTTCAGAATGAATGTTACATAATTTAAGCCTTACGAGACACGAGTTAAGATTGGATATATAGTTAAATTGTTGAAGTACAAATACACTTACCACGTTCATATTAACTTCTGGGTCCTCAGCATTGTTTAGCTGAACGATCAGGGCAAGCAACAGTAATGACAACAGTGAATTAAACCAAGAAACTGCCATTGTATTCTCGTTCTAACTCCGCGAGAGTTTCTAAAGAGTTGCACTGAAGACAGTCAAACTGGTTATGAAATTCAAACATATGGTTGTCACAAGACACTTGTATGCTTGACCACTTGACATAAGGTCACGGAAATGAAAAATTTGGTCAGCTTTCCAAATAACTCAGCAGGCATCACTTCCACTTAGAACATCGTTTGGAAAATAGTCATTCACCTTGAATGGTCTCCAGAAAATAACGTGGTCTCCTAAATTGTTCGCGAAATCTCTGCGAAGGTCGAATATAGCGCTGTCCATCAGATAGTGATTTTTTCAACCTTGAAAAGCTGTAAATTCCACTCGATACTTTCCATCTATACAATATACTCCTCAACTATTATTCATAACTTATACATTCATGAAGTACCCTATATAGTATATATATATACATCAACTTGGTTAGGTGTAAGAAATGTATATAAATTTCCACTCGATAATTTCCATGTACAAGACCCTTCAACTATAAAAGTAAAACCATGCATATACCTGGACCTCACAATTATTAAATAAAGTTTAATCTGGGTTATATCAATCAACATACAAGCCCATAGATCGATATCCTATCTATTATAGTTTAGAAACTACCACAGTGTAAATTCCAAGAAATCTGAGTTACCATATCTTCTAGTTTAGAAACTTGCAGTGTAAATAAAATCGTGCTTTAAGGATTATCTCGGGATTATCCTTCACCAAGGCAGGCGAAAATATACTCTCAAGAGATGCGCAGCGAACTGAAGCTACTGACATTGCATAGCAGGAGACGATTTTTACGCTTTATAAGCATTTTCAAGATGCTGTACAACTAATTGGACTACCCTAGCCAGCTGAGGGATGCGTTCAAATTCAGACGTTGCATGCACATTCAACAGAGACCTGAGGAATAAGACGCTGCTTGATCTTCTAAAAGTAAACAGTGTACTGCAACTCTTTACCTTTAAACATTAAAGAAATGCTATCCTTCTCAAAATTTAATTAAACGTACTGTTCATACGCATCTTTTAGAACTTGACAAGAAGGCTTAAGTATTTGTAGTGCATAAGAATATTCAATATATTGTATATAAAATAAGTGTAACGTTGATAATAATTGTAATCATTGGACTGGTATATATAGCCTCGTTCGCACTTCCCTTTTGGGCCAGTTGATATTGAACTAATTATTTTAAAGTAATTTATCGCACCAATAAAGTTGTTAAATAAAATAAATAAAATAGAATAAAATCACTGTTCTCTCGTTAATACCAGCAGCATTGCTGATGGGATATTTGACAGTTTATAAATAAAGTCATTATTTATTTATTTAAATTCTAGAAATATTACCAAATATATCTATCGTTTATTTCCTGATAAGTGCATGATTGTAAAATTGACAATAAAGTATAGAAACAAATTCCTAATAGTAATATGTAGAATTAAGTTTCTTCTTGAAACTCAATATTTAAGTAGAACAAGAGGACACAATATTTAACAGTGACATTTCGAATTTATTGCGAATTCATCACCAGGCCATTTTGGGGATACTGCCTCTCACACGTTTGGGAGTCTCCGTACCACGAAATGCAACTTTTTAGTATTGTATAGTTGTTTGTATATTTAATGGTAAATTTACAGTTACAACTTTTAAAAGTCGTTTTTCACGTTGTTTGAATTGTCTAGAATCTTTCACGAGGGCAGACAGTACCCCGAAAATGGCGGATTTTGGCCTAAGTATATATACAAGCGTGATTATTTAATTTCATGCATGTCATAAACCGTGAAAAAAGCGTGGATGCGGAAGAAGACGATATATGTCAAGTCAAATAGTGTGAGCTCTTCACTGTGTTTTTTCTATTGATTATTGTATATTAATCTTTAAAGGTGATCTACAGTCCGATTTGCGCATGTGCACAAATGAGCCCACTTTTTATTGTGAAAACAATATATGTTTTGAGTTCTTGAAAAGCCTGATTGTTGTTTCTTGATCATTTATTATACTCTAGAAGCTTGAAAATATAAATAGTTGTCGAATAAAGCTCAATATTTTGGACACAAAAAATGTAAACAAAGGCTTTGTTTACATACGGACTGTAGATCACCTTTAAATTATTTTTTAGAACAGCTTGCCAAATCTTTTCCATTCTGAAAGCATTTAAACTGCGGCTAACCCCAAATATGATTTTTGGTATGTGTAATATTTGGGTGATTCGAAGAAGAAATGTAGTATATCCTTATAATAAAACATCCCATCGTGATCAACTTTTCACTGTCAAAGTTTCCGGATATGATGTCATTAGGTGACTTGCAAATTAGTTTTCCTTTTTTTTGTTTTGTACCGAAAATTCACCTAATGACATCATATCCGGAAACTTTGACAGCGAAAGAGTTGATCAAGATGAGGTTTTTTACTATAAAGATATATTATATTTCTTCTTAGAATGACCCAAATATTGCCCATACCAAAAATCATATTTGTGGTTAGTCGCGCTTTGATAGCGTCAATCAGGGCATTCCGAATATGCTGCTTGCTGCCACAGGAACGACAACACATCGCTTGGCGAGGCCTTTGACTATTTTACATTCAAGATGTTCCGTGTCACAACTGCAGTCGTCGTTCACGATGCATTCTTTATCATAGGGACACTCTACATCCCCGCTATCGTTTCCCAGCATCCGGCTGAATCGTTTCTATGGATAAATTAAAGTTTTTTGTGTGATATGGTATTTGTATAGAAATAACGGCTAAACGACTATACAGTATAAGAAATGAGATGTCTATCATTTTTTCGTTCTCTAAATGCTTACATTATTTTTTTCCTCCCGCGAAATTCTACTCCTGCCATGAATTTTTAGGGCCTATATATATTTTAGTGTGTGCAGGATTGCATACTTTGTGCAGTATTGAAATTTGAAATTTTCAGTTTCAAAAGTCACAAAAGAAAATTTGGAACAATTTCGTGAACCAAATATATATATATATATATATATATATATATATATATATATATATATATATATATATATATATATATATATATATATATATATATATATATATATATATATATATAATTGTTGTCTTTTCTACTTAAAATTAATTAAGTCGCAACTCTGAGTTTCACGTTTTCACGATCTTCAGGCGACGATGTATGTTCAACTAACTTTTCCTGCTTGGTGACGTTGATATCCGTTGTGCTGCTTGCGTGACTGAGTTTGCGTGCGTGATTGAGCTTGCGAAAAGTTTGAAAAGTTTGGCCGAAAAGTTTGAACGTGCGCAAGCTCAATCACGCACGCAAACTCAGTCACGCAAGCAGCACAACGGATATCAACGTCACCAAGCAGGAAAAGTTAGTTGAACATACATCGTCGCCTGAAGATCGTAAAAACGTGAAACTCAGAGTTGCGACTTGATTAATTTTAAGTAGAAAAAACAACAATTATATATATATATATATATATATATATATATATATATATATATATATATATATATATATATATATATATATATATATATATATATATATATATATATATATATATATATATATATATATATAATTCAATTTAAAAGACTATGCAACTTCGACCATCAATTTATTAAAAAAAAAAAAACTAAAACATACTAAAATAAAAGGTTAAAAGTTAAAAAATCTGTAACTTTTAAGCTTTTATTTTAGTATGTTTTAGTTTTTTGTTTTTTTTTAATAAATTGATGGTCGAAGGTGCATAGTTTCAAAAAAATAGTCGATAAGTTGACGTAAGGTAGAAGAGCGCTCAATACCATAATAAGTAGAGCGGAATTAATTCAGTCAAGGTTTGAATGAAAACATTCAAACCTTGACTGAATTATATATATATATATATATATATATATATATATATATATATATATATATATATATATATATATATATATATATAT